CCACAATAACATATGCAATGTGAAGTATGACTAAAATAAGAAAAATGGTACATCTTGACATTCTGCTAACCTTAGGCTACTCAAGATTCAGACACTTAGCACAGAAGGCAGACAGTAATTTCTGATAGTACTGATAAATGTAGCTAGTTCATTTAGCCGCCAGAGTAGACTTCGGTCTAGATGGGTGGGGTATAAATTTAACAAAATAAATAAAAAAAATTAAGGCAGCTTTCCTTAATTTTTGCCTTAGAAAAGTGGAGGAGGGGTGTCTTATAAATGGGGGCATCTTATAAAAGGAAAAATATGATATATATAATAAGAATACGTAGGACTAGAAAGAAATTCAGATTTACAACCCATTATTTACTTCACACCTGACCCTTACATCTGTGGTACTTATTTCTCCCACCTTACAGCTACAAAAGTACTACAAAGGGAATAAAGAGGTTAGCTTGCCTTCTGTAGGATTAGCAGGTTGATCTTTGTTTATTGCAGTCTGTATATTGTTGAAAGATGCAGGAGGGGCACACTGCTGCAATACTCCAATAGCATTACAAAACTGATCTGCAAGCTATAAAGAAATCCAACCTGATTAGATTCCAAAACAAGTATACTCCACTGTGTTTCTGCTCTGCCACCTAACAGTAAAATTCTACTTAGCAATTAAAAACAAATTACACTTGACCTGGACAAAGGCCTTTATTCTTGCAGCTGTTCTATATGTGTGGTCCTTCTACAAATACAAATTGTGATGAACTTAGAGATGCAAGGGCCTGGGGGGAAAATTGGGGGGAAAAGTTTTTCTCCATTTTTTCCCAAAGCCTTTTTGATTTCCCCCCCAGAAAAAAAGGAAGAAGAAATGGAGTTTGGAATAAATTCTTTAACAGCGATAAACAGTATGCCTGTAATATGGTATTCAAACTATATAACATTCAAATCTTAATAAAATACTTCTGAGACTTTATGTATTTAGGTTCTATTTAGAGGTATGAAATTTCTGAAAATGTCTATTTTTTCCAGGGGGGGACTTTTTTTCTGGAAAAAATGGAAATTTTTGGAAATTTTACATTTCTAGATGTACTACAACTTCAGATAGGGAAAGTAGGCAGGGCAGTCAAAATTTCTTTAAACACCACAATAATTTTAAAGTTAGATGGCAGATAGATTTTAAAAGTAATTTATAAGGAAAAGAAAAGTACATACTACTAATAACATTAACAATGTTGATGATAATACTTGATTGGTGGACAAAAATGCAAATACCCTGTTTCCCCGAAAATAAGACAGGGTCTTATATTAAATTTTGCTCCAAAAACAAATTTGGGCTTATATTACGGGCATCCTGAAAAATCATACTAAGGTTTATTTTCACGTTAGGTCTTATTTTAGGGGAAACAAGGTAGATTCAAGGTACAGAAGAGTTAAAACAATAGGCTTTTGTAAGGAACAGACACCATTAGATAAAGTACTTCTGAATGTAAAGGAAAAACTGATTAAAATGTTGTACAATTATTTATTAGAATTAAAAATGCAAGATGAAATAGTTAAAGAATGTATGATAAAATGGGCTCAAAATGTGGGCCACAGTATTAACTTGGAGCCATGGTCACAAGTATGGGAAAACAATATTAAGTTAACCAAATCAGTCAATCATAAAGAGATAAAGTACTTCTGAATGTAAAGGAAAAACTGATTAAAATGTTGTACAATTATTTATTAGAATTAAAAATGCAAGATGAAATAGTTAAAGAATGTATGATAAAATGGGCTCAAAATGTGGGCCACAGTATTAACTTGGAGCCATGGTCACAAGTATGGGAAAACAATATTAAGTTAACCAAATCAGTCAATCATAAAGAATATATATATATATACACTGGTGCCTCACACAACGATGTTAATTGGTTCCAAAAAAATCAACGTTGTGTGAAACATCGTTCTGTGAAACACCATTTCCCATAGGAATGAATTGAAAACTGGTTAGTCCGTTCCAATTGGAACAGATTGCCATCGTTCAGTGAAAATCCCCATAGGAAACATCGTTGAGTGAAACAATGTTTCCTATATTGGAACACCACAATAATTTTAAAGTTAGATGGCAGATAGATTTTAAAAAAAATTTATAAGGAAAAGAAAAGCACATACTACTAATAACATTAACTATGTTGATGATAATACTCGACTGGTGGACAAAAATGCAAATATCCTGTTTCCCCGAAAGTAACACAGGGTCTTATATTAAATTTTGCTCCAAAAACGCATTAGGGCTTATATTACGAGCATCCTGAAAAATCATACTAAGGTTTATTTTCACGTTAGGTCTTATTTTAGGGGAAACAAGGTAGATTCAAGGTACAGAAGAGTTAAAACAATAGGCTTTTGTAAGGAACAGACACCATTAGATAAAGTACTTCTGAATGTAAAGGAAAAACTGATTAAAATGTTGTACAATTATTTATTAGAATTAAAAATGCAAGATGAAATGTATGATAAAATGGGCCCAAAATGTGGGCCACAGTATTAACCTGGAGTCATGGTCACAAGTATGGGAAAACAATATTAAGTTAACCAAATCAGTCAGTCATAAAGAAATATATATATATATACTGTAAGATGTTCTATATATGGTATACGACATCTGAAAAATTATTGAAAATATATCAGAATAACTCTAAAAAATGTTGGAAATGTAAATCAGAAGAAGGTAGTTTTTATCATAAGTGGTGGACTTGAAAGGAAGTTAAAAGCTTTTGGAAACTAGTTCATGAGATTTTACAAAAAATGCTATCCTGCATAATAGGGACTTGGTGGCACTGTGGGTTAAACCGCAGAAGCCTGTGCTGCAGGGTCAGAAGACCAGCAGTTGTAAGATCGAATCCACGCGACGGAGTGAGCTCCCGTCGCTTTGTCCCAGCTCCTCGCCAACCTAGCAGTTCGAAAGCATGTAAATGTGAGTAGATAAATAGGTACCACCTTGGTGGGAAGGTAAAATGGCGTTCCTTAGTCACGCTGGCCATGTGACAATGGAAACTGTCTTTGGACAAGCGCTGGCTCTACGGCTTGAAAAACGGGACGAGCACCGCCCCCTAGAGTCAGACACGACTGGACTAAAAATGTCAAGGGGAACCTTTACCTTTTTATAATTCCATATGAACCTGAACTATTTTTGTTGAATATAGTACCAGATTTGATAAAAAAAGGAAAATATATACTTGATCATACATGTATCTACAGCAACAAGAATTTTATATGCAAAATACTGGAAAAATGGTAAGTCACCAATAATCAAGGAGTTAATAGAAAGTTTTTGAAACAGCAGAAATTGATCTTTTAATCAAAGTAGTAAAGGACAAAGAAAGGGTTGAGGCTATGGGGAATAATTGGATGAGAACATGAATGGGTTAAGATTATAAGAAAGAAGATTTAAGATATAAATGAAAATCTTAAAGGCTTAGAAAAAAATTGGCAAGATTAGTGTGGAGTAAGCTTAGTAAGAAATCATAAAGGTAAAGGCAATAATGATATAAAGTGTTCTCTGCCAGATTCGATATTTTTATTTACCCCTTATTCCAAATCCCATTCCCTACTATCTTTCCTGACCTGATGAAAAATAAATAAATAAAAAACAATGGTGATGATGAAGCACTGAAAAAAGGTGCCAAAATTTAAAGAAATTCTAATTCAAAACAGGAGAAAATAGATTTGGGGAGGGCCACATTTAAAAACGAAGCAAAGGGAAGACTAGAACTAGAGAGTAACTGTTGCAGTAACACTGAAACAATCTCTCCAGAAACATGAATAGACCACCCTCGATCAAATTACAGAGTCAGAAAAAATGAGGAGAAAAACACTCCCATATTATCAAAGCTTTGCAAAACTTCTGTGGGCTCTTTTCAATTACAAGTGGTCGACCCAGGTTCCCTTTGACAAAACGTGCCAAAATTTAAGCCACAATAAGAGCTTAACAGAACTTTCATATTTGAATAAAGAATACCACCAAATATCCAAACGGAGGGCATAATCTAGGGACGTTTTTCTCTTTTTCTGAACTCCAGCCGGTAAAATAGCCCAACTATGTCCAGGAGCCGTCCTTTAGAAAAGGAACTTTTCCACTTTCTGTATCGGATCAAACCCCAGGATATGACCTCCAGGGCCCTATTCTGCTCGCAGGTCGCACACGTGCTTTGACTGGACGGTCTTGGAAACCATACACGGGACCAGGCAGGACCTCGTTTGTTCCTGCAAGGAGACGTGTGAGGGGTGTGTGTGTCGGTGGGCAGAGCACACAACTGGACGTCTCGTATCACACACCCGCCGCTTCACAGCTGTGAACCTGCAGGCTGCCCAATGCCAGGCAACAGCAGGTCGCAGAAAGGAGCCGCCTTTTCACCTCGGCCCCAGCCCGGCGGCCCTCCCGTCCCCAACTCACCGAGTTCACCGCGTCCTGCAACTGGGTGAGACGGTCCGCCATCGCACGCCAGCCACTCGGCGACCGCTTCCCCTCTAGCTACTCATAGGGCGAGCCAGCAACCAATGGGACGTCGCAATATAAGCTAAGCAGGGGCGGAAGGCGGCCCTACTAAGCAACGCTCCCAAACGTTTCCTTTTGAGTCCGACCTTTTACGTCGCTGGGAATCCGGAAAAGCAAAACTTAGCCCTTTCGTTGTCTCTGTGGTTAAAGGAAAGAAAGAGCGGCTTCGTGGAGCTCCCTCTGTCGAAGGGAGGAGGCATCGTCGATTCCTTTTGTCGAGAGTGAGGATAGCCGGTGTGATGTAGTAGCGAATAGAGAGAGATGGAGTAGCCGTGGGATCAGGCATGGAAACTCCCTAGAGGAATGAAACTGCTAAAGCTGCTTTCACTTTAAAGAAAAAAAAATCAATTCATCCCACCTAAACCCCTGTTTAGAGAGCTGACCGAAGAATTGATGCCTTTGAATTGTGGTGCTGGAGGAGACTCTTGAGAGTTCCCTGGACTGCAAAGAGAACAAACCTATCCATTTTGAAGAAAATCAACCCTGAGTGCTCATTGGAAGGACAGATCCTGAAGCTGAGGCTCCAGTACTTTGGCCATCTCATGAGAAGAGAAGACTCCTTGGAAAAGACTTTGATGTTGGGAAAGTGGGAAGGCAAGAGGAGAAGGGGGCGACCGAGGATGAGATGGTTGAACAATATCATCGAAGCAACCAACATGAATTTCACACAACTCCGGGAGGCGGTGGAAGATAGGAGGGCCTGGTGTGCTCTGGTCCATGGGGTCACAAAGAGTCGGACACGACTAAACGACTGAACACACACACACAAACCCCTGTTACTCCCCCCACCCCATTTCAATTCATCTCCTGCTTTTCACGTTTATTGATTCACAACTAGTTCCCAGCAATAATTTCAGGAAGTCTAAATTCGGCTTCCTAGACATAGCCTGTTTAGTGTCAAGTGCAGAACACAAGAGGTCTTCAATTCAGATGTAAAGAAGACAGAGTTACCTCTTTGTGGTGTCCTTAACTAATGGTTTAAAATCTTTTATTAATCTTGCACTGTGAACATGGTTAAATAATGAAGGTTGCCAAGTTTGCATTCAAAGTTGTGGACTCTGCACGTGCACCAATGTCTTATGTCACTTCACGATACTGGCACACTTACAGGGGGGCGGTGCAGACTAAATAGCGTTTCATCACATTGGACCATCCCACTACAACCCAGCCATATAGACAAAGGGTAATCCTGCTAAGAGTTCAGGCTCATAATGGAGTTGGGCCTCCTGACAGGGTTGGATTTTTAAAATTATTATTAAATAAAAACAATAATGCTAACATAAAATGTGTACTGTATACATATGTACCATGCAATACTACTAAAATTGCCCCTCTGTGCCACCATCACCCTCGGGACCAGGTAACCAAATACGTACTGTATATCCTTTTACAGTAATCTCTTTTCACTCCATTCCACTCAAAGAATGCATTGCTGGCTTATGATCTCTCCCTTTGACAGAAACATAGTTCAAATATGGATTCCATACCTCTTTGAAATCATTATATTTTGTCATTCCCCTTTTAATTTTATTTCATCATTTATTGCTAAACTCCACATTTCTTTGTAACAATCTTCAATATTAATTTGTCATTTTTCCAATTTCTTGCAAACATTAACCTTGCTACTGTGACCATTATAACAATTAACTTTTTGTTTTTTTTATTATGATCATTCTTAACTATATATAAAAGGACAATATTTGAATATTATATCTAATAATTTCTCTAATTTCTTTGAAAATCAGTGCCCATTCTTTCTTTTTTGTTTCACAAGTCCACCATATATGTAAATAGCTCCCTGATGACTGGAAACCTAACATCTTTGAAATCATTATATTTTGTCATTCCCCTTTTACTTTTATTTCAAGGTTATCATTTATTGCTAAACTCCACATTTTTTGTAACAATCTTCAATATTAATTTGTCATTTTTCCAATTTCTTGCAAACATTAATCTTGCTACTGTGACCATTATAACAATTAACTTTTTCTGTCCTTTTTTATTATGATCATTCTTAATTACATTTAAAAGGACAATATTTGAATATTATATCTAATAATTTCTCTGATTTCTTTGAAAACCAGTGCCCATTCTTTCTTTGTTGTTTCACAAGTCCACCATATATGTAAATAGCTCCCTGATGACTGGAAACCTAACAGTTTTTTTAGTTCATCACTGCATTCTGTGAGATTCTCTATTGTGAAATGTGGATAGAATCAGACCAGTCGCCGTTGTTTAGTCGTGTCTGACTCTTCATAACCCCATGGACCAGAGCATGCCAGGCCCTCCTGTCTTCCACTGCCTCCCGCAGTTGTGTCAAATTCAAGTTGATAGCTTCGATGACACTGTCCAACCATCTCGTCCTCTGTCATCCCCTTCTCCTCTTGCCTTCACACTTTGCTAACATCAAGGTCTTTTCCAGGGAGTCTTCTCTTCTCATGAGATGGCCAAAGTACTGGAGCCTCAGCTTCAGGATCTGTCCTTCCAGTGAGCACTCAGGGTTGATTTCATTTAGAATTGATAGATTTGTTCTCCTTGCAGTCCAGGGGACTCTCATTTGATTTAGTTGTAACAGTAAACAGGGCTTCTAATCAGCAACTTTAATGTTTATTAACAACTGCAAATTATTTCACAAAATGCATTTTAAAAAATCTTTAAAATTTATTTTTTAAAAAAACAATCGAAAATCAGTACACCTTGTCAGAAACCTTCCAGCGCTTCAGCCCTATACTCGTGCAACCGTTGCTTTGTATGAAACGACAACTGTTAAACTGGAATGAAAGAAGTGCAGGCATCGTCCAGACTGCTCCGTGAGCCTGACTTACAGTACTCTTTAACTTCCTCTGACCAGCCGAAAACGTCCACCCAAACTATTCAAAAAGTGCCTGGTTGTTTTTTTTTTCACCCGCTCAGCATGTGCAGTAGACTCAAGGATCCAAAGACACGTGGGTCGTGATAGCGTGGGAGCAAAACAAAAAAAGTAACGAAATTACAGTTACCAAGGGAGACGGTTGCAAAGCTCCGAACGCATCTGGGCGACGAATGGAACGAAAACTCTCCAGCACGCCGTCCGGCTGCAAGATAAAGAGGGTGAATTCCCGGAAGTGAGCGCTTGCTGGCCTCTGGCTTGAGACATGGAGGCGGGGCGCGGCGGGGCGGGCTCGGCTTCGCGCGAGTAATGAGGCTTGGGCGCGCGCCTCCGCCTCCCATTAAGGGGTCCCCCCTTTTTTTTCTTTCGCTCCTTTCAAGAGTTGGGACGGAGGTTCCTTACTCGACAACATGTGGCTCCCCGGTTTGTTGCTGCTGCTGCTGGGGCTCGTTTTCCGAAGTCAAGCTGCAGAAGAAAGCTTGGCAGGTAAAAGGCTCAAAGAGAGCGCTTTTTAAATATATATATACACGCCGCCTAGAACAGCACGGCGCACTAACGGGGCGGTATATAAATGACCGACCCAAGCAGTTTTCCCCCCCAGTTTATAGATAAATTCCGAAACAGCGGTCCGGCCCTTGGTTGTTTGGGAGCCCGCTTCACTTGACTGAGGGGCGCTTCATCCCGAGTAGCCATCTATAGTTTAGCTTTGTTTGGGGAAATAATCCTTCGTTACCGCTTCTATAAGCCGAAGCAAGGGCCGTTTTGAACTTTCCGCATATTGGAAATGGGGTGTGGGACTCGGAGCTTTTTTCCATCGAGAGGTTTAATGGGGGAGTCGACAGGGTTGAGTGCATTCAGTGAAGCAAGAGGGAGCAGGCCTTGGGTTAATCTGAAGGGTTGTAAAACCATTAGTAATGTGTTCTGAAGGTTCATTAGAAAACTTGTCAGTTTTGAAGGTATTCCTAAATCAGCTCAAGCAAAGCTGTGTTCTTTTCAGAGGGTTGCTTAGCTAGTCTGTACCGAGGTGCACTTCACACATTGTGCAGCACAAACCTGGGGTTTGCCACAAGGTATACCCACAGAGTGCTGTAGTTAATCTCACCTCTCTGAAGTAGATGCCTGTCTATTAAACACACAGTTTCTCAGGCTTGATTGTACATTTTATTGATTGTACAATGCTTAGCTTGATTGTACATTTTAAAATAATCTTTGCCATACACATGGACTATGTGATGGCTTGAGTCCACATTTGATCATGCTTAGAGTAGACCTTTGAATGAAACTGAAGTTAGTGATGGCTAACTTAACCCATTGAATTAAGTGGGTTTCCTCTAAGTACGACCCAATTTAGACCCATCCTGATGTAGGAAAAAAGCCCAGTGAGAGTCTCTGACAATATCGATTGTGAGTTATGGCTGTTGGAAGTGGATTTTAGTATGAGAAGGAAAATTACAATCTACATTGTAGTGTACTTGTTATAATTCAATGCTTTTGTTTGCTGGAACATTCTGAATGATGATGTAGTTAAGTCCTGCAGCCTTTTTCCCAAATTAGGTGTCTCCCAAAGGAAATGAATTGGCCACGAGAACTGTAACCTTGAAAGAACTCGTCATGTGTTTTTATATTTCAGTCATGCGTTTTTGGTATAGTGAATTGCTCTTGGTTTTCTCATCGGTTAATTAACAAGCATGCTATTATTACAGAGCAAAGTCTATGCTCTCTGCTGTGGCTAATCCAGAAAAACGCAGCAGCAAATGTCTCCTTCAGCTGTAATTTTATTTAATGATTAGAGTGGTTTTGCACATCTGACTGATTTAATCTTGTTGTAGTATTATATGTACACTTTAATAATAATGCATTAAGAGTAATTTAACATTAGAAGACATGAGGAATGCTTCGGTTCTACTGCAGTGATACTTGAAATTATATAGCTGGGAAATTCCCCTTGTCTTCCGAAGGCTTATTACAACACAATCCTGTTGTCAACAGGCCTAAGTGAAAGACGTGTACGTGTCCTTGTTCAAAGTTAAGGTACAGCAGAGAGCGTGCTATTTTGGGGAGAACTGGAGGGAAATCAGTAATGCAAACTGCTTTAAACAGAGACTGAAGGCCAAAAAACAAACATATACACAGCTGGTTATACTCGCTTGTCACAGCTGCTAAACTCCAGTTTGGAAATGGACTGGCCATCTTTTTTTGTGTGCCTCACTTTCCTCATCAAAACAACTCCAGAGTGTTAGAAATGCTATTCTCCTTAGTCTACCATTGGCTTAGCACTTTGGCTGTAACCCCAAACTTCATTTTACTTCACTGGAAAATAGAAATGGGTTTCTCTGATTGGCTTTTCACTACCCCTGTCTTTTCCTGAGCATTGGTAGCTCATGCAATTAGACGGGCATGGGAAGAACAGAGCCATGCTTGTTGGCTTCGTACCTGTACTTTCAATTGTATCCTGGTTGTGTGGGCTTGCTCCGCCTCCTCCATGCTCTGTTTGGGTTCTTGATGTTCAGAAATGTCATAAGTCAGACAAGTTATTTACTTAAAACATTCACATCTGTTGCAAATGGTGGAGGGACAGCAAAGCCTCATTCTCCATCCAATGGAATGGTAGTTCCATGCGCTATGAATGTTTGAAGAGAGCTTCTCTTCCTAGGACATTGAGATATTAGCTCCTGTGGCTTAGTGTATTAACTGAAAACTAGAGTAGACCCATTGAATCACAGGGGATTTGATGAGCCATCCCCTTCATAAATTCCCTTGATTCAGTGGGCCAACTTTAGTTGTGACTTGCTGCACAAAGAATTTCAGCCATTGTATTGGTCCTTGTTACATTACATTGCAAGGGTTGAGCAGTCCTTCTTTCTCAAAATAGTTTCCCTTATTGAGGATTAGAACTGCATCTTCTTGGGGAATACAACTTTATATTTCATCTTCTACTGAAGATTACAAATGTTAATAACATGATGGGTTCCAAATAATACAAATGTGCAAACTGAAGAGAAAATATATAGTATGTTAAAAATAGGGAATTCAGACAAATAAAAAGCCTTCCAAAGATATTTCCTTCCTTCAGATATATGTACAAATATTTTTTTAAAAAGAGAGAAGCATGAAGATTCATTTTGGCTGCAGTGAAACCCATTTTGGGGTAGGAAGGTGAGACAGAAATCAAATACTACCTCAGGACTGTCTTTTGAAGTCCAGAGAAAAGGGACAATCACCAGATATCACCAACTTTAGAGATGCTCATTTCAAGGATTAGGGACCACAATGTCTTGTGTGAAGAAGTGTAGAAGTTTAAGATGGTGAATATGGAAAGCGTGGAATTGATCCCTGGGTTAATAATCAGTTTGTAAAAGTTGGGAAAGAGTAAAAACAAAATGGCAGTTAATTTATGCAGAATACTCTGCTCAATCTCTGGTGTTCTGATCTGGATACCATTAGAACAAATAACAAATGAAAAAAACCACAGGGACTGTTCGTGGTTGAGAAAAGTGTCTTTGTTTTACCACCTTTGCTTTTAAAAAAGGGTGTTATTGCTTTGAAAAGTATCATGAATCTTCTAGCTAAGGCATCAAAGCAGTTTGTGTGAGCTGCGCACCAACTTTATGGGCTTCTGTATTGCTAGACACCTCTCTGGAACCCTGTCATGTGCTCGTGATGAGTGTGTTGGGAAAGGAGTGATTCATGGATTCTCTTCAGCATTTACGTACTTGTATTTGAAGTGAGGTTGGTAGAAGATTGCTCTTGTGGTATTTGTAGAAACTTACCTTAATGGAGTCAAAACACTTTGAAACTAAGAGTGTAAGCACATAGTCAAGGACTGTGTGCTTAGTATTTAAGTTAAAGTGTTCCAGAAGTACAGGGATAGTTTGAGAAAAGAAAAGTAATTGAAAATATTTAAATGAATAAATGCTAAGATACAATCTGTGTTTAAAATTGTGTAATGATAAATTAGAAAAGAAATTACATTGCTCCAGAATACAATTGTTTTGTCCTGCCTTTGGTTCAATGGCTAAAATCCTGTTGCGTTAAGTTGCAACTGTGTAAGGCTCATGACACCTGCAAAAGGAAATTATATATGTACTGATTTTGGGGAAATTAAATGTTTCTTATTTCTCCTGAAGGTCTGAATGTGCCTATATACTGTAAATCACTTTGATTCTTAGTGAGCTATTGGAAGCCATGGAAATTACTGAAAGTAACGTGGTGGCGCTGCGGGCTAAACCGCAGAAGCCTGTGCTGCAGGGTCAGAAGACCAAGCAGTCGTAAGATCGAATCCATGGGACGGAGTGAGCGCCTGTCGCTTGTCCCAGCTCCCGCCAACCTAGCGGTTCGAAAGCATGCAAATGCAAGTAGATAAATAGGTACCATCTTGGTGGGAAGGTAACAGCGTTCTGTGTCTAAGTCACACTGGCCATGGGACCACAGAAGATTGTCTTCGGACAAACGCTGGCTCTATGGCTTGGAAACAGGGATGAGCACCGCCCCCTAGAGTCGAACACGACTGGACAAAAATTGTCAAGGGGAACCTTTACCTTTACCTTTTTTAACGTCCTCTCTCTGGTGGCTATTTTGGTTAATTAAAGACTTTCCACTCCCTTTCTGCAGCCCCTGGTGTCTTTCCAATGATGAGCCTCGGGATCTCTAAGAAAGAAATTGGGGATGTTTAATTTCTGGAAAACCACCAGTGCTGGTGACCTTGTCAGCCTTATGCAATGTACTGTAATACTGTATATGGCAAAAGGATTTCAGTCAGTGTATGGAACAGTCGTGAATAATTTGAATTGGCTTTAATGTATTATATATTTATTGATTTCTTGAGGTGTTTTTTGGTAAGATGCTTTGTGTTTTCTTCAAGCAAAGTATAACTTTCTAAAATAAGAAGTGCAATTGTGTAATATGATTGTACTACATTGTTTCACTGATTATTTGTCCTGCAGGTGGAATAGTAAAAAGGGAAGAATGGGGACTGAGCACCTGACAGGTCACAATACACAGTCGGCTTTAGTGGGACACCGTTTGTTCTAGGTGAAAAACATATGAGTTGCAGGATATGTCCCAAGGGGTTCTTACCACACTTGTTATTGTGTACTCCACTACAAGAGAGGAATACTGTTTGTGTAGTATATTTATTTATTGGATTTATACATCTCATTAGTGAAATGCACTATTCTATTTTAAAAACAGAACAATCAGTCTAACTAAAATAAAACACAACGAATAGCAGTAGATTCAAAGAGGCATAAATTACAGATTGCATGCAGAATGCAAGGCATATAGAAACATCAGGCAGAGTGTGAGCAGGAGACAGCTAGTGTGCCGTCCTCCCAGGTGTCGGAACCCTAAGAAGACTGAGGCTGTGTAGAGGGAGTGTTAGTGGAGATAGAAACAGAGGGACAAATCGAGAGATGGGTGTTAGAAGTTTGCCTAGCAGACGAAGAAGGGGAGGAGCGAGACCTAATCACGTGGGAGGAGATACTAAATGAGGGGGAAAACGCGCTGGCTTTTCAGATCACGACTGAACTGCCAGGAGAGAAGGTAGAAAAGGGAGTCCAAACAGAGCCGATGATAGGACCTGAGAATTTAGCCGGGCTATTGAAGGAATTCCCTAATCTACACTCAGGCGGAGGGCTGCTGCCTGATCCGGTAGGCAAGGGAATTGGAGAAGGAGGGATAAAGGCAATAGAATGGACAGTGGTCGTGTACCCCCGCAACCACCCTGGGGGACGGAGGGTGATTTGTCTCAGTCCCTTTTTGGTCCAGCAACAACCACCCGAGGGAGACTGGGTGAGACATCCCTGTTGTGGGACTATATGTGCGGTCCGGACCACGCCACTGAGGCCGATGTCAGATCACGAGAGGTTTGGGCCAGCCCCGATGTAAGAAGCGTGTGGACTATGCCAGAGTTGCGAGTTAAAAGTTATAACACTTTAAAGCTTAATGGACCCGTTCGAAGCAGTGGAACGTGAAAGTTTGTTAAATAAAAAGACAGTTGTTCTAGTTAACGACCAGCCTCCAACTCTTATTGCTGCGCCTACAGGGGACTGCCTGTGGTGGGAAGCGAACCCGCTCACAGAGTTACCAAGAAAGTCTGTCTTTTTTAAAAAATATTTTCAGATGCTTTTAAATGCTGGGAGCGATGGGGCCAGGTGCAGCTCCACTGAGATTTGGTTCCAGAGTGTTGGTGCCACCGTGAAGATGAGTTGGTGCCATCTGGTAGATGATTCCCTGGTCTTTTTCAGAGTGGCCACCTGGAAGAGCATAACCTGAGAAGACTTAGTGGAGCAGGTAGATGACACTGGGGAAAGATGCTCCATTAAGTAGCATGGCTCCAAACTGTGAAGCCTACAAAGCCATCATTTAGTGTGAAAGGGGCAAACAGGAGTGAGCAGTGATCATTCTTAGGTTTGTCTGCTGCTTCCTGTCAAGTAGCCAGGAGAAGGACAGTTTGTTCCCCCTTTTGTTTAAAGTTTGTCATCTTGTCCAGACCCACAAACTGAGGTTAACTTGGATTATATTTCAAACAATCTGAATTTGAAAATGATATCGTAGAGCTGTTACCCTTGCCCGACTAAATGCATTACCATCGGCAGTACTAGAAGGGAAGTATAAGAAAATTCCATTCTCTCAATGTAGATGTTCTTGCAATTTGGGTGCAATAGAAACAGTTATGCATGTTCTCCTGCCCTGTCCTTATGTTGATATTTGGAAGAATTTTATTGAACCTCATCTAAAATTACTCCCTGGGCGCTCTGAGGCTTTTTACATGCTTTTATTGCTGTCTGGACACAATATAGATATCTGGTACAATGTGGCAAAATTTCTTGCAGCTGCTGTTAAAATCTGTTAAAGGAAGGTTTTAAAAATTACAGTACAGTACTTGACTAGTTATTAGTGGGAACCTGAAAGGGGAGACTAAGGTAGCATAATGTATTACTTTGTTAGGATGTTTTTAACTTAATACATGCTTTTATGTGTGTTTTACTGTTCCGGCTTGGGATTCCTCCAGTCCAGACTTTCGCATGATGTATTCTGCATATAAGTTAAATAAGCTGGGGGACAATATGCAGCCTTGTCGTACTCCTTTCCCAATTTTGAACCAATCAGTTGTTCCATATCCAGTTCTAAGTGTTGCTTCCTCTCCCATGTATAGATTTCTCAGATCTCTTGTTTTTCCCTTTCTATTATTTTCCTCTATTTCTTTGCACTGTTCATTTAAGAAGGCCCTCTTGTTTCTCCTTGCTATTCTTTGGAAGTCTGCATTCAATTTTCTGTCACTTTCCCTATCTCCCTTGCATTTTGTTTCTCTTCTCTGCAATTTCTAAGGCCTCGTTGGACAGCCACTTTGCTTTCTTGCATTTCCTTTTCTTTGAGATGGTTTTTGTTGCTGCCTCCTGTACAATGTTACGAGCCTTCATCCATAGTTCTTCGGGCACTCAGTCCGCCAAATCGAGTTCCTTAAATCTGTTCTTTACTTCCACTGTGCATTAATAAGGGATTTGGTTTCGATTATACCCGACTAGCCCAGTGGTTTTCCCTACTTTCTTCAGTTTAAGCTTGAATTTTGCTATGAGAAGCTGGTGATCAGAGCCACAATCACCTCCAAGTATTGTTTTTGCTGACTGTGTAGAGTTTCTCCATCTTTAGCTGCAGAGAATATAATCAATCTGGTTTCAGTGTTGCCCATCTGGTGATGTCCATGTGTTGAGTTGCCTCTTGTGTTGTTGGAAAAGAGTGTTTGTGATGACCAGCTTGTTCTCTTGACAAAACTCTATTAGGCTCTGCCCTGCTTCGTTTTGAACTCCAAGGCCAAACTTATCTGTTGTTCCTTTTATCTCTTGACTCACTACTTTAGCATTTCAGTCCCCTACAATGAGAAGAACATCTTTCTTTGGTGTCAGTTCTAGAAGGTGTTGTAAGTCTTCATAGAATTGGTCAATTTCAGCCTCTTCAGCATCGGTGGTTGGTGCATAAACATGGATGACTGTGATGTTGAAAGGTCTGCCTTGGATTCGTATTGAAATCATTCTATCATTTCTGAGATTATATCCCAGTACAGCTTTTCCTACTCTTTTGTTGACTATGAGGGCTACTCCATTTCTTCTATGGGATTCCTGCCCACAATAGTAGATACTGTATGATAATCGTCTGAACTGAATTCGCCCATTCCCCTCCACATTAGTTCACTGATGCCCAAGATGTCAATGTGTATTCTTACCACCTCCTGTTTGACCACATCCAGCTTACCATGGTTCATAGATCTTACATTCCAGGTTCCTATGCAGTATTTTTCTTTGCAGCATCAGACTTTCCTTTCATTTCCAGGCACGTCCGCAGCTGAGCGTCCTTTTGGCTTTGGCCCATCCACTTCATTAGCTCTTCATAACCACCAAGGATAATGGACTGCGATTGTAACAGAGGATGTGAGTGGTGGTTGCTTGTGTTTGTCATGAAGCACACTTCTTCCTAAATCCTCCATGTCCTGTTCAGAAATACCTGCAGTTGAATAAGGGAAGCTTTTTCTCCCACCCTGCTAGATACTGGTTTCATCCAATAAAACTATATGGCAGGAGATCAACACTGATCAAAGGCTTCCTTTGACAATTTCAGGGTGCAGGCAACTTTGTCGCATTGTGTACCCATCACGTGCACCCCGAACTGATCAATGGATTCCTGTAGACAGTGACAGTTTGTTGACTCTGCTGATGTCATTTACATTGCACACGCAGGGCAGCACAATAGGATTTCAGCCAATGTATATCTCTGTACACATTGCTGGAAAACTAGAGTGAGAAATTGTCATTGTATTCATGCCTTGCACGTGGACCTCCTGGAGGTCTTTCACCAGAGTTGGAAGAGAAGGTTGGGCTCAGTAGACCTTGGGTCTGATCCAGCAGGGCTTCTCTCATGTTATGATCTTAATTAATGCGAGATAGGCTGTGTGGCTTACTAGGGAAGAACAAGCTGTAATTAGAAAGACTCACTAAATTCAAGAAATCTGCCTAGTTGGGGTTTCAGGGGAGTGAATAGTGTCTTGTGACCTGACAGTTTTGAAGGGCAAATAGACATGAGTAAAAGCTGTCGTGTGATCTGTAATGGTCCAGTAGGAAAGATAGTCGGTCTGTTACCCAAGGCATTCACGACCGGGAGGGACTCGTCGAGTTGGTTCCAACAATCAGTTAAACTACATGTTAAGCCTGTGTGCCTTTTTCCTCTCTAGGTGGTCGTCTATGTTTCTTTACCCTTGCAAGATGGATAACCTGTATTTTGTTGATTTTTTTCTTTATAATGCAGCCTTTCTCATTCAGCTTTCTTTGGGGAAATTTAAAAATGTGCGGCTCAATGAAACAGTTCCAGCTGAAGCAGTGCTGGGGAATATTGCCAGCAATGTGACTGTCATCATCTTTCAGATCCATACCTTCCATCAGAATGTGACAATTTCTTTTGATAAGGTACTTACATTCTTGCTGGTTAACATTAATTTAACATTGGAATGGTTTGTGACTGATTTACCTAGTAGCTGTTTTCCAGTGATATAGGCCCTCTTGATAAGTAGTGTTTCCCCCTGGTTAGGAGCTATATAAAATCTTGAGCTCATAGGTTCTGTTCACCTATTCTGCTTTATCTGGTATAAAGAAACATATTGACCTATCTAATATCTGGTTCATTTGTATCTGGAGATGTCTGTTACCTGGATTGAAAGACTGGATAGCAGGCTGAGGGAAATCTCCTAAGCACATGAACCCACATTACACTGGCGAAGCAGATAGAGATTGTATATATGCTGTATATAAAGGTTACCATGCTCTCGCTCTCTCACTCTCACATACACGGGCACAGACATAATAAACTTTATGGTTAAATATATTTGTTTATCACTTTAATATACTGTCTTACTTCCATGATGGAACCCAAGGTGCCTTGCATAGAGTTCATAGGTAGTCTCCTGTCCAGGTAGACACAAACTTGGAATTGACTTTTTCAGAATTGCAGTCTACCATGGCTTGAATGGTTATACTGCCTTGAAGGATTGTCCTCTTCTATACAGCTTAACAGTGGATATAAATAAAGCAACCATGAATAACTTGCAAGCTTTGGCTTTGACATTCTGCTTAGGATTTCCAGTGGTAGGGAGAAAGTAAGGAGGTAAAGATTATGAACTGTGGGAGAAGAAGGAATACCCATTTTCTGACTAGAACAGCTTTTCTGAATTTCTAGTAATATGTGCCAACAACCTTGGGGAATATTGATTATTCCTTTTAATTAGCAGAATCTGTGGTACGAAAACAACAGCAGCAGCACAAAGAACAAATTTGGAGAAATCAGCTCAGTCTCATTACCCCCTCCCTTTGGTTTCCCCACACAAACAAGCACTTAGTTATGATAAAATCACTCTAGAAGCATTTAAAGTTTAAAAGGGGTATTGTTGTTTACAGTCACCATCTATAGTTACAATCAGTAGAATAAAAAAAGGAAGAGTTAAAATTGAGTCTCTACCATATGTTTCAATGCTTGTTCAGAGTTCAGGGAAAGAAGGACTATCAACAAAGACAATGCAAGCAGGCAAAAAAACCAAACCAAACCAGGAAGGGTGGTGGGAGGTTTCCAAGAGCAAGAAAATTTTTACCAACAGGTTAGAAGCAGAGGACAATCACTTCAGGTTGTAAAAGCCCTCTCCTATTGATATTCAATTTTGATGCATGCAAAATTGCTATTTTTCTAAGAAACAAATGATAATATTGTTTTTCTCCTGCACCACGAGGAAGAGTTTTTTACATTTTGATTCTCATTTCTTATTACAAGATGTATTTCAGTATACAGTGGTGTCTCGCAAGACGATTTTAATTTGTTCTGCGAAAATCGTCGTGTTGTGAAAAAATCATCTCGCAAGGTTCCCTATGCATCGGTCTAAAAAAAAAGTCTTGCGAGGCACCATAGTGATCGCATAAACCAATCGTCTTGCAGGTTTTTCGTCCCATGAGGCAAACGTCTAGCAAGGCACCAGTGTATAGTAAATGGAAAGTAAAACTGGATTTTATTATCTAGGCTCTTAAAGGTTACTCCTAATCGCCTGGAAATTCAGATTTTTCTAAAAATGTGGTAGCCATTAAATGATTTTTTTTAATTGACTTGCTGTAACTTCTGTTGAAGAAAATCAGTGAATGGGTACCACATCTTCAGAAGAATCTGAATTTCCAATTACTTTAGTATTTCTGGAAATACTGTATCAGAGATGTTTTTGAGACTGTTGAAAGTCTAGGCACACAAGAATCGCTAGAGACTGAGTCAACATTATTGTAAGTGAGAGCATGCAGAAGAATAACCCCAAACTGCAAGCCTCAAAACATTAATTTTTAGAGGTACACATTATAATCTTTTCTGCTTCTTAGAACCCTTCTACAAACAACTCAGGAACTGGAGTAGACAAAGGGCTGGTTTCTGTCCTCCGACCTGAACAAACTGTGTGTACCTGGTATTTGAAAACTGGGGATGCCAACCATGTGCTGAGCACAGTTGTTGCGTACTCTTATGCTGAAAAAGGTAACCTCTTTCTTTCCTCCATTCAGAACTGAAATTGTCCACTGCTTTTGGGGTGTGTGATAAATGTTTTTATGTTTTCCATGCTCCTTAGAAAGGTTTGTCTGCGAAAATCATACTAAGTTGCTGATGCTGTAAATGTTTGCCTACAACTGAGGCTGCACTCGGTTGATTTGTAGAAATGAACCATAGTCCACAAATGTTTCTCCCAAATAGCACTTGTTAGTCTTTAAACTGCTAGAATTATTTGCTTTAGGTGCAGCAAACAGCCGTGGTGGCCCTTTTTTGAAAATAAAAGCAAAAAGCAAAGCATGCTGCTTATATATCGCTTCAAGCACTCTCTGGGCTGTTTACAAGTTAATTATGCAGGCTACACATTGGCACCCCCATTGAACTGAGTACTCATTTTACTGACCTCAGAAGGATAGAAGGCTGAGTCAACCTTGAGCCGGCTACCTGGGATTGAACCCCCAGGTCGTGAGCACAGTTTTGGCTGCAGTGCAGCGGTTTAACCACTGTGCTACAAGGCCCATTCTTTGTCATTCTCTTTAAAATTCTCCATATATGTATTTTTCCACCCCTTCTTAATGATGATGATGATGTACCATCAGGTCAATTTTTACTTATGGTGACCCTTTCCAGCATTTTCTAGGTATAGAGTAATGAGAAGTGGTTTACCATTCCCTTCCTCTGGGGGGCACTCTGAAACTGTGCAGTTTGCCCAGGACCGCACAGGCTGGCTCTTAGAGGCACAGTGGAGAATTGAATTTCCAGTTTCTGGCTCCACAACCAGACACCTAACTCCCTGAGCTATCCAGCCATCTTTGACTATGGTCTGTATAGCCCTCAGCCACACAAGAATTTCATGTAGGTTTGAAAATATCAGTTTCTTCCTTACACCAGTTAAGCTTGGAATGCTGTCCCGAAGTCACTTTTCTTTGCTCCTTTCTCTTTCATTAAGCAACCTCCTATAGCCAGTGTAGGTGCTATTTCAGCCCAGCAAAGATTTTCCAATCTTGTTTCTTTTCCTCACAACTATTTCCTCCTTCTTTTCAGTGGTAATCATTGGTTTACAAAAACCCACTGCAAGCCATGTATCATCTCTTGATTAGAAAGGAACTGAGACTTGCATTGTTACATCTGTAATACAGAATCATAGTGGTAGCGTGATTGTATATGCAGTGCATTCATGAAACTGGCTCTTGGTTTGCAAACAATAGTTTTCAGTGACTTCACATAACTGTTATTACTCAAGTTGTCTTTTTTTTTAGATCCAATCCCTGGTGGCTGCAACTTGGAATTTAATTTGGACATTGACCCCAATATTTATTTAGAGTATAACATGGCAGAAACACACATCAAATTTGCCCCAGCAAATCTGGGGTACACAAGGTATGTACAGTTAGTCTTCATTGTTACATGAAGATCTTAATACATGTGCACAATTCTGAATGATGATGTTCAGATTTTCCTCTCTTGGAATCTTAAGATATTCTTACTTTTTAAAGCCTCTGACCAAAGCAAGAGAAAGATTAAAATGCTTTTCTGAATCTGGAAATCTAAGTCGTTTTCAGAGTTAGGTTAACCATCTTTTTCCAAAGAGTTGTCCATGTGGATGTTGTGTCTGAGTTTTTAGTCATACTGAAAAAGAAGTGTAGATATTCAAATGTGGCCTTCTGGCCTTACAGTTTGCAAAGATGCTTGATTTAATAGCATAGATCCCCAAGTTTATTTAGAGGATATTCTCGTAACCCATAGCTAAAATATGAAAAAAGACAGAGCCTTTTCTATTTTTTTAAAATGGCACCAGTAGCCACTTTGTGGCAGAGCTGAAGTTGGGTGGTGACCTATTACTCTGTATTAAAGGATCTGTAGCAGACACAGAGGGAAAAGAGCCTAGTCAATTCGATTTAATTTTTTGTGATGAATAATGTGAGGTTTTATATTTGAGTAACAAGAACATCTATTAAATGGTTCAGTAAGCTTCAGGGGAGGGCAGCCATTGTTTGTTGTTTAGTCGTTAAGTCATGTCCGACTCTTTGTGACCCCATGGACCAGAGCATGCCAGGCCCTCCAGTCTTCCACTGCCTCCTGGAGTTGGGTCAAATTCATGTTGGTAGCTTCAATGACACTGTCCAACCATCTCGACCTCTGTCGTCCCCTTCTTTTCTTGCCTTCACACTTTCGCAATATCAGGGTCTTTTCCAGGGAGTCTTCTCTTCTCATGAGATGGCCAAAGTATTGGAGCCTCAGCTTCAGGATCTGTCCTCCCAGTGAGCACTCAGGGTTGATTTCCTTTGGAATAGATAGGTTTGTTCTCCCTGCAGTCCAGGGGACTCTCAAGAGTCTTTTCCAGCACCACAATTCAAAAGCATAAATTCTTCAGCAGTCAGCTTTCTTTATGGTCCCGCTCTCACTTCCATACATCACTGCACGAAAAACCATAGCTTTGACTATGCGGACCTTTATCGGCAAGGTAATGTCTCTGCTTTTAAAGATGCTGTCGAGGTTTGTCATCGCTTTCCTCCCAAGAAGCAGGCATCTTTTAATTTCATGCCTGCGGTCACCAACTGCAGTGATCATGGAGCCCAACAAGGTAAAATCTGTCACTGCCTCCACATCTTCCCCTTCTATTTGCCAGGAGGTAATGGGACCAGTGGCCGTGATCTTAGATTTATTGATATTGAGCTTCAGACCATTTTTTTGCACTCTCCTCTTTCACCCTCATTACAAGGTTCTTTAATGCCTCCTCACTTTCTGCCATCAGAGTGGTATCATCTGCATATCGGAGGTTGTTGATATTTCTTCCGGCAATTCCATCTTGGGATTCCTCCAGTCCAGCCTTTCGCATGATGTATTCTGTATATAAGTTAAATAAGCAGTGAGACAATATACGGCCTTGTCATACTCCTTTCCTAATTTTGAACTAATCCGTTGTTCCATATCCAGTTCTAACTGTTGCTTCCTGTCCCACTGTGATCTTGTTCTGCCTCCTTTTTTCTGAATGTAACATCTAAATGCAATGATGAATCTGCAACGTCTACATTTTCTAACAAAACATATTTATTGTTTAACAAGGTTTCGTGAGTTTTTTCAGCCATTACATCTGTCTCTGATTTTACAGAAATGGTGCCATTTTTGTCTTCTTTAGACAACGATAAGTTCTCCTTCTTAGTGAAGGGTGATGAATTCAAAACAGATTTATAACTGTCACATTCAGACAGCAAGTCCCCCAGAGATGGCGCCTTTTGCTTCAGGGTGAGGGGTGAAAGATCCATCCCACTTGTGGCTCCCAAACCTTCTTGCCAGGCATAGGTCTCAAATTGGGACAAAGTGGAGTGGCCCCACGGGGTCTCCCACCTCTCTATACATTTTGCTTGTTTTCTTTCCACCGAGCCTCCCTCTGTATCCATGCTTTATATCTTTCTCTCTTCTCTTCCTTCTGTCTCACCCCAGTAGGGTGGCTTCCTATATATCTGCCTTTTCCACTCCTTCTCCACATACTCTCGAGGAACTCTAAATTCCACTTTCCTATATATCTGCCTTTTCCACTCCTTCGCCACATATTCTCGAGGAACTCTAAATTCCACCCATTCCCCTGTCCAGGGCTCTTCTTGAACCAAATCTACTAAATCCTCCTTTTCCTCTTCCTTCTCCATCCAGCAAGCTTCGTCTACTCTGTTTACCTCCAACTGCCCCCCTTCCCTTCCTTCTCCTTCCTTTTCCTCCTCCTTTCCTGCCAAAATGGCACCCCCTATTGTTTCTGTCCCTATATGTAGCCCTTGTAAGTCTTATGTCTGCCAGCTGTCCCTCGTGGTTTCCTCTTGAAATGACCAGTGGTACACTTCTCGGGCTACCTCTGATGTTGGTCTCAGTCTCACACCCACATATAGATTTCTCAGGAGATAGATAAGGTGGTCAGGCACTCCCATTTCTTTAGGGACTTGCCATAGTTTGTTGTGGTCCACACAGTCAAAGACTTTTGCGTAGTCAATGAAGCAGATGTTTTTCTGGAACTTTGTGGCTTTCTCCATAATCCAGCGCATGTTAGCAATTTGGTCTCTAGTTCCTCTGCCCCTTCGAAATCCAGCTTGTACTTCTGGGAGTTCTCGGTCCACATACTGCTGAAACCTGCCTTGTAGGATTTTGAGCATAATCTTGCTAGCATGTGAAAAAACTATGAGCTGTTCTAAAATAAAAGAGTATGGCACAACTTTTTAATCTTGTAATTGTATTTTTAACCATATATTGTTTAATTTATCTTTTACTATTTAACTTACTGTGTTTTTAAATTGTATGAATTTTAATGTTGTGAGCTGCTTTGGGTCCCTTGTTGGGAGAAATGCGGTATCATCATCATAATTATATAAATTGTATGGTAGTTGGAGCATTCTTCGGCACCTCCCTTCTATGTGATTGGAATGGAGACCGATCTTTTCTAATCCTCTTGCCACCGCTGAGTTTTCCAAACTCGCTGGCCTATTGAGTATAGCATCTTAACAGCGTCATCTTTTAAGATTTTAAATAGCTAGACTGGAATGCCATCACCTCCACTGGCCTTGTTGTTAACCGTGCTTTCTAAGGCCCATTTGACTTGGCTCTCCGGAATGTCTGGCTCATGGCCAGCAACCACACTATCTGGGTTGTCTCAGACATCCAGATCTTTCTGGTATAATTCCTCTGTGTATTCTTGCCACCTCTTCTTGATGTCTTCTGCTTCTGTGAGGTCCCTCCCATTTTTGTCCTTTATCATGTCCATCTTTGCACAAAATGTTCCTTTAATATCTCCAATTTTCTTGAACAGATCTCTGGTCTTTCCCTTTCTATTATTTTCCTCTATTTCTTTGCACTGTTCATTTATGGGCAACTGTAAAGAGTGCTAAAAACTCTAGAGCATTAAAGCAAAGTATGACAATCTGCCTAACTCATTTTAAGTTAATTTTCCCTCCTACAATCTTCCAGAGGTACAAACCCACCTTTGTGTGATTCTGGGTCTAGTCAAGATTCCAGGTTGAGGCTATACTATGATATCTATCAGTACTTCCTACCAGAGAATGACTTGTCTGAAGAAACATTTGTGAGTCACATGAGGAAGATGTCTGATGTGAAACATATTAGAACAAATGGCATCAAAGTAAGTTCTACACTTCTTATGTATGGATTAACTGTGTTTTTGAGATGCTGTCATTTTTCTATGTAAGTCCTTCAGTCAGTTTCCACTGAAGATCTCTGGGCTGTATGATACAGCCATGTGACTTGCTTCAATGGGAGTCTTGTAATGGGAACAGAATTAACAGTTAATTAGCTGGTATACACTGTGGCTTTCCAGAGACTTCAACAGAGTTATTTCCCAGTTCTTTAAACTGGACAGGTCATGGATTAACATATGACCTCTCCATGCAAAGATGCAGTTGACAGAACTTCTGTTAGTCCCTTCCTGAAGAAACTTGAGTCTAAACAATTCCTATAATATGTAAGGTGACTTAAAAATTGTATCTTTTTATATGGTTATGTTTTGCTTCTACTGTGTGTGGCGATCCCCCTTTGTGCCCTTTATACCTCTGGGCTCCACAAAGGTAAATCAGCCCTTTTCGCTGCCACCAGGTATTATACTAATACCAAATCAAATCCCACACACTCAGGAGCTGTCACCCCAAAAGGTCATACAATTTCAGGAATCAAGGGTTTTGAATAAATATTCTTTTATTATTGAACAAATCATAAGGAGAATCAAATATAACTGTTTCATATGTTCATGTATAATAAATCAGGTGTTAATGTATATCAGATCATGTCAATATTTATCTTGTTATACTGTACTTAGGCATTCATTCCTGCTTGTTCACTATATTCTAACTCTTTCAGTTCCCTTCCTTGACCCTTTTTGCTATTCCTAAATCCTAGCACTCTCTTAATAACTTCTGGTCCCTAACTCTGCCTGAACACCTCTCTCTCTCTCTCTCTCTCTCTGATTCCAACCCCTGACTGTCTCACCCAGCTGTTCCAACTGTCATTCTGACTCCACCCCACCTGCTCCATCCCCTGATTGACATGCAGGAATGACGTCATACTTTGGGTTCCGTTACACTGTGTTTCCCCAAAAATAAGACAGGTTCTTATATTATTTTTTGCTCCAAAAATGCATTAGGACTTATTTTCATGGGATGTTTTATTTTCAAATACAGTCATGTCATCTTCTTCTGATTGCTGCACAAGGGTGGAGAGCGGGGTTTCAATTAATTGGGGCTTATTTGGGGGGTTGGGCTTATATTACGAGCATCCTGGAAAATCATACTAGGGCTTATTTTCAAGTTAGGTCTTATTTTCGGGGAAACAGGATAGCATGTTTTGTTAAGCCAATTTGAAACTGTGTGTGTGTGTGTGTGTCCCTGTCCATCCCTTCTCTTTTAATCCTTTGCATCCTTTTTATGCTTTCTTCAGATAATGACCTTAACTAGCCAGGACAAAACTGACTTGTACTTCTCCTCACTCCCGGGACAAGGAGTGATCTACAATGTCATAGTGCGGGATCCACATTGGAACACCTCAGCTGCCTATGTACCTGTTCACACATATGCGTGTAGCCTCTCTGCGTCAACAGATAACTGTTTCACAAGCAGTAAGTTAGCCAACTATGTATATATTTCCCTGTGCATAAGGAAATACAGTGACCAAAAGTCTACCATATGTATTTTTTACAGTTCCAGGGAGAAGGAAAATATATTGCTTTATGTCAGTTTGATTATATTCATCCTTACATTTAAGTTGTTGGATAGGGAGTTGAAAGGGCTCATTTTTACTTTACAGAATTGGCATGGTTAATACATTTATGTGGTGTGTTCTCCAGTAGTAGGATGGCTGAACACCATATTCTGTATAGCTTATACATGGTAGAGCTTGGCTCATTATTTTATAAAAGGAACAGGTTTAGTTACTTGGTGCCTTGTGGTACCCAGGTTATCATTGCCAGTCTTGTATCTGCAAAAGGAGTCCATTGCACTGTGTTTTATTAATGCATTCCAACCAGGAAAATATGAGGAAGTGCTATCTGGTTTCATCTAGTGACCAGTGCTGATTTTGCACCAAAATATATAATGAAAAAAAGCAGAAATTTTTTTTTTTACATATTTTGCCTCATACGATTGATGTCAACATTACATAAAACTTGAAAAGTTCTTTTCAAAATGCCTTAAAATGCTCTTTAAAAGTAACTTGGAAGTAAGTAGTTATCCTGAAAGACAACAGTGTAACTACTAGTGACATTCCCTTTGAAATGTAATTTGGTGAGTGACTTCCATCATTATTCCAAAAGGCAATAACTGCAGTACTTGTAACTAGTTACTTCTAAGTTCAGTAAACAGCCACAGGGGTTCTGGCGCAGCCAATGGGAATTGACAGCAGCTTTAAAAAGACAGTTTTACAAATGGACTGAAAGAGGCCACTGGAACCATGATCCAAGCTATGCCTCAGTATGGCCTAAATTGTCTCTGTACCATAAAGTCTCTGCATTTATTGCCTTTTTAAAAAAACGTATCTACAACAGGTAAAACATATCTCTCTGGTTTATGGTGTTATAGTCTCCTTGTCTTCAGACAGCTGGATAACATAGAAGAAGAATGTGTATGTCTGCTGTGGAAAAAAGTTATCAAAATTTCTTCCTTCCAATATTATTAGTATGAAGCCTCTTTATCATTCCTCAGAAGGAAGTTACCTTTTTAATGTTTAATCATGCAATGTATATATTCCATCCTTGTTTCCTCCTGTAGGAAAGCTTGCCACCAAAATATTTTTCACTGCACTTGCTGTCCTTGGCCTTTTCATCTGTTTCGTTGGACACAGATTCTGGAAAACAGGTACAAATTAGGATGTGTGTGTACAAAGCAGAGAGGTTTGTTTTCAGCACTGTGAAACCTTCCCAGCTGTTGCCATTCATCAACCTTATTGCAAAACGTCAGAACAATACAGCTCCATACTTTCATAGCTGCAGCATGTTTTTTTCCTCCATTAAAGTGGCCAATATGCTGTATTACAGCTGGAAATCAAAACTCTTTGTTAGAGCAGTGGGTAAGGAACCTGCAACCTTTGAGCGGCTGAACTCGCGTTCCCATCAAAGTGAGTCAGCTTGGCTGATGGGCAGGAACTATGGGTGAACTAGTCCAGTGGTATTTGAAAGGGTCTCAACCCTTTTTGTGAACAAGAACAGTCTCTACTTCAAGGGAGAGGCACCTCTGGCCTATAGCCCTAATTTAGCTTACAGATAGACCCAATCCAGACCATGACAGCTCTTCCCCCACTTCTCCATCCTCTGGGTTGGCAGAGGTGAGGGCAGGGAGGAGTTCTCTGCTATCTCCAGTCAGGATCAGAGTGAAGTTTCTTCTTTCTCACTTCTCACTTCCCCAGTTGGGCAGGCCAGTGGTATGTGAGGTGTGGGGTAAATCCCATTGTTATCGCCAATATCAGGCAGGAGATAAAAGCAGGGAGTTTCACCAGGTCCTTCCTGTTTCAGGTGGGGGAAGGCATAGAGTGGACACAGCTTCATGGATCCAAAGACTAGCTGCACCAGCCCAGCATGAACTCCACTGGTACTGCAACTGGCTATGCCTGTGAAATCCTGATGCCTGAGTCTGTTTCTCTGCCTCAGCTCATTTCTCCTGAGGCTTTTTAAGGAGACATTGACACCGATAAAAGGCATGCTTGAAACAGCCAGTCATGCAGGCAACCTTGGGGGTTGCAAGACCCTTTTGTCCTTGTGACATGCATGCTGTGATGTTTTCCCACATAGCCCCTGCTTGTTTCCCCAAACAAAGGGCTCATGCTGTGTCTTCCTACCAGCAGATAGCAATTGGGACATTCCCCCTTTTTCTGTCTGCCACCAGTGGATTTTCTTTATCCACACCATATAAAGAACTTTATTCAGACACTTGTCAGGTTGCTACCAACAGAACTGATTTCTTGAAAGGTATTAACTTTAATCAGAATCACAGATGTTATTTCTTCAAGGCATATATTCAAATCATTCATATATATCTTGTCACATTCACCACCTGCTCTATCACTATCTCTGCTTCTTTCTCTCTCTCTCTCCACTGCCAAACCTCCTTATCTCCTCTGACCCCGCCCCCTCCACTCCTCTCATAGGTTCATGCAAATGAAAACCCAACTGTGAGTGACAGGAGTGACGTGGGGCAACCATCATACATGCTAATTTGCACCAGTGTACAGTTTGAGGAAATACTTGAAATAGTTCCATAGAAGTAGGAACAGATCAGTGTTGCATAATGCCCCTTGCTGGTTCCTTTGCTTTAAAAATATGAACCTAGAAAAACAGTTTCCTGTTCACTGGTTCATGAGAGAATGCAAATGTGGGTTCTCGGTGTCACAGTTCTACTCTTTTAGCTGTGGAAATAGTCTTTACAGCCTCAACATATTGCCATATTTTGGGGTGCTGGTCCCTTAAAAATTAAATGGACTCTCTGTAATATTCATGATTGCATTTTAATATTTACAGGCAAAAACATGTCTTTCAATGAGTTGTCTAACTTTCTTTCTTTAGGTTTATTCTTTATGGGCTTTATCATCTTGGCTTTCTTTTTCTTCATAACCATTACCAGAATACCTACTCTCAATTATGATGGTAAGGAGAGGAATGTATTGATTTATTTGTTCTCTCTACAGATTGGTTGGTTTGGAACTGAACATTAGAACATGGGTAGTGATAGGAGCTGGTGAGGGTAGTGTTTATACAGTACTAAGGATAGGCAACTCATGGGCTATATGTAACCTGCCTGTTATTTTGGCCCTGCTTGGCTGCCATATTGCAGCAAAACCTGATTTTCCTTTAAAATGAAGGAATGTAGAGAGTACACACCTTGTGATATTATGAAGTTACGTGTGAAAACAGATGTGTGGGTGAGACTTACTGAAATCACAGCTGCAGTTTCCAAAGAATTGGGGAGAGGCTGCAAATTCAACCAGTTGCATCTTTGTCCTCCCCCACATCTAGTGATAAAACAATAAATGGCAAGAAGTAGTGGAGAATACATAATGGCTGTCACGATTCCCACGTGGCCCCTGCTTGTTTCACCAAACTAAGAGCTCATGCTACATGCTCCTCAGCTGCCACCAGTTGATTACATCAACATTACTTATTATTAATGATAGCTGTCCAGGCCATATGTCATTTAAAAGAACCAAATAGAAATTGTTTATTGTTACAGATGTTGAGAGAATAAGCAATGTTAAACGTTCTCCTTTATCCCTCTCAACCACCACTCTCCTGCCCAAACTCCAAAACTTTCAATCTTTCCAACTCTTAACTCCCTATCTAACTCCCCCTCCTCCTGCTGAGTCGCTTATATTTTGTGACTCCAGCACTCCCATTGGTCTATGCAGATAGCATATGAATATTCATGACCTGGGCAGACACCACAATGGCAAAGTAAGAGTATTATGCAAAAGTGTGTAACATTCGTAGTTGTACAGGTTGGAGAATGCTTCTTCTTTGGTGCAGAATGAGTTGGGTTCAAAGGCCTCAGCACAGCTGTGCAGGGGAGCCCAGTCCTTGTTCTAACCCAAGACTGGGGACAAAACTTCCACTTCTTGACTGTCAACACACACCGTTCCTGTCTTTCTGTACTCCTAAGAAAATGAGAGGCAGTCTTGGAGATGAGAACTTAATGTTACCTTTGGCTACTGATTCCGCATGACTGCTGCTTTACCACTCTGTTTATTGAACGTGTAGCTTGAGCAACATAAGCCCCAGCTGGTAGCCGCAGGCAAACAGTAACCCCTCTGCACTGTTAAGCCCATTCTTTATATAACTGGGATAGATTCGTTCAACATGCTGCAAAACTCCAGTTTATTACTGTAACCAGCAGAGTTCATAAAAGCCCATGCCATAATAGATGTACTAGTTGTTCTAGCGCTAAAATGCTGCAACAGGCTAATGTAGCTACTGTTTTGAAAAAGTATTGCTGTGGAATTTTAAAAACCAGTAACATGCTAAGGCAGCGATGGCCAACCTATGGCACGTGTGCCCCTCTGCACTGTTAAGCCCATTCTTTATATAACTGGGATAGATTCGTTCAACATGCTGCAAAACTCCAGTTTATTACTGTAACCAGCAGAGTTCATAAAAGCCCATGCCATAATAGATGTACTAGTTGTTCTAGCGCTAAAATGCTGCAACAGGCTAATGTAGCTACCGTTTTGAAAAAGTATTGCTGTGGAATTTTAAAAGCCAGTAACATGCTAAGGCAGCGATGGCCAACCTATGGCACGCGTGCCACAGCTGGCACATACAGCCCTCTCTCTGGGCACACGAGCCATAAGTTGCCGGATTGATGCCCCCTGCATCCAAACCTGAGGAGGCGAGTTCAGCCGCAGTGGTAGCACCCTAATGGGCGACGGGCCAGGATCCAGAGCAGCTGACATTGGCAGCGGGCTGGCCAAACTATAGGTGGTGGCGTGGTTGGGCACGACTGGAGGGTGATCCGGAGTGGGATCTGGAGGCACCTCCATGCCCAGGATTCCCCCTCCTGCTTCTGCTTCCACCACCGCTTCTGCCACCGCCACCAGCGGGTTTTTTGTTTGTTTGTTTTGCAGTTTGGGCACTCGGGCTCAAAAAGGTTCAATATCACTGTGCTGTGTCACCTTGCACAGTGTTGGTGAAATATGCAGGGCTGACATTGCTATGATTGTGAACCTCACTTGTTCCTTCTGTTCTCTTCCCTCCAATCCTGATCTTTCTAGCTGACCTTGGTCTTACAGCACTGGCTGGTGTTATTGGAGGTATCCTCTTGGTGGCCTACTGGTGGAGATTTGGTTTTGTGATTCTCTGCATGTTGATTGTGGGACTTGTGCTGGGATTCTTTGTTGCTTCTACAGTTTTCTTCACTCCTTTAGGTATGTTGCATAATCATAATTCTTTAATCCCCGGTGTGAATATTTTTGTTGTTGTAAACTGTGCCAGGCTAAGTCGTCTTCTATCTTCTGAGTGAGTGGTTGAAGAGAAAGCAATTCTGTTTATATGCTTTTACATCTTTTGCTAAGAGTAAAAACAGTAAAATATCAGATTGCCAATCGTATATTGTGAAAGAACGTAGACAAAATTGCTAGGATGAAGCAATCTGCACTCTGAAATAACCTGGACTATTTGCAGTTGCTTTGCATCTTTTTATATGGCTGTTCATTATTGTACATTATTTTCTAAACGTGACAAGTCATGTTTAATTTAACACTAATATAGCTCAGACACATAAGTAAATATTCTACACATCCGCTTGAGGGGAAACCTCTTTGACCAGTGGGCCACAGCTGCCTTCCTCCTAAATGTGTGTTCTGTGCTGTCATGTCAGAACCGACTTAATAGCAACCGTAACAGGGCTTTCAAGTTAAGTGAGATATTTAAGGAGTGGTTTTACCAGTTCCACTCTCCCAGTGAGTTTCCATGGCCGAATGGGGATTCAAACTCTGTTCTCCATAGTCCTAGTTTGTCACTCTATCCACTACACCACACTGAGAATTCTGAGTAGTCCCTTTTTAAATGGTATTACTTTCCTGCAGAAGTTGGATTATGGATTTTAACTTACATGATTTCAGTGAGACTTTTTGTTAAAAAAACAACAACACATACACCTGTAGGTGGGGCATAATTTTTAACTCTGAGACACCAGTTTTGTACAGAAACTAGAACTGCTGTTCTTTCATGTTCTCAATCTGATGCCTTTGTAGGAGACTACAGAGTTTTCCAAGATGATGCTGTATTTTGGGTAACTTTCTGTTGCATTGCCTTGATGGTCCCCATCGTATTTGTTGGCTGCCCCAGAGTTGTAAGTATCTTTTGAGCCTAAACTGTGTCCACATCAGTTTTCTTGTATATTTTGGAGTGGATAGCATGCTCCAACTGAACTATCTTTACTAGTGCTTGTTTATGTCAAATGGCTTCTCCTTGCCTGAAAAATACTTGAGGAGCACCCTGCTGTGAATCCCTTTTGCTTAGAACACTAGACCTGCCAGGATTGTGGTACCTCCACTGAAAAGGCATAATCCATGCACATATTAAACACAAACCAATCTCAGCACATTTACCAGATCTGCTTTTTAGGTATGGGAGACGAGCAGTCTTTCTAGGGCAGCAGACTTTTCATAGCTAGCAATTTATTTATTTATTATTTATTTATTGGACTTATATACCGCCCCATAGCGCTACAAGCACTCTCCGGGCGGTTTACAATTTTAATTATACAGGCTACACATTGCCCCCCCAGCAAGCTGGGTACTCATTTTTCCGACCTCGGAAGGATGGAAGGCTGAGTCAACCTTGAGCCGGCTACCTGGGATTTGAACCCCAGGTCGTGAGCACAGTTTTAGCTGCAATACAGCATTTTAACCACTGCTCCACGAGGCTCTCAATCTAGGGCCATTATATTTTCTGTCTCTCCCCCCGCACCTGCATCCCCTTAGCTCCATCCTAGCTTTGTATTTTGTTTGATTTTCTACTAGGCTAATGCTCACTAATCCACTGCTTATGGTAGGAGCCTAGTTAACATCATAAACCGAAAATAATGATAGAGTCACACTAATTAAAAGCCTGAGTCTGTTTTGCCTCTGCCTTGCTGTGTGGTTCCTAGCCATTTAAAAATTCCTGCGTTCCTAGATAGGTTCTCGTGCAGCTAAAACTAATTTTCTTTTGCAGTCATGCATTGCAAGGGCACTAACAAATGAAATAACAACAGCAAAAGGAGTTAACAAAAATATTCAGAACAAGTCGCCCATATAAAATCTGATCTTGTTATTCAGTAAAGGAGATATAAAAACCTCTGACTACACCAGGAACAGGCAGCTTTGGCAGATCCATAGCACAGTTCCTCTCCTCTATGATCTGCGACGGACTTTACCTCCATTACCACACGTTTCTGAAATGTGGTAGCAAATTGCAGAGGGGAAAGCCCTTAAAACAAATTGGAATGGAATTTTGGCAGTGTGGTTTATCAAGGGGCCCTGTCATCTGCAGAAATGGCCTTGATGATTGACTTAGATGCCAGATGCAGTGGACTCCAGTTTTCTAACTCCAATTTTTTTTAATGATCTAACCTTTTTCTTCAGCTCAACATCTTGACATGTGGCATAATAGGATCTTATACCATCATCTTGGCTACAGCATGTTACATATATACGAGTCTGTCGTACATTGTCATAGATCTACTTCGGAGGATACTGCATGACGACTTTAAGAGAGCTTACACCAGTGTGCCCTTTCAGTCAAATGGTATGTCTTATAATAAGTGATGGGGCAGAATTTTTTGCCTGGAATGGAGATATCCTTGAAAAACACGTGCAGTATTCCTTACTTGAAAATGCTTGCATGCTGATCTTAAGCAGAAGTAGAGAACAAACGAGCTGTGGGTGGTAAATGTGATTGTGCATCCCCTTAGCTTTGAGCTGTGTTGAATGTTCCCTGGAAAAAAAGAACAACTTTGCTGACACCACCCAAGCAGCTGGGCTTTTCCCAAAGGAGAAGGGGATGTGTCCATTTTGTTGCTCCATTCTTACTAAGGAGATGTGCATCTCTGCTCTCCTGATAGAACTCAGCAAAATATAGGCATACCCTTTCACACATCCCTTGAACAACTCAAGTTGGCCTTGCTGCTCTACTAGGGAGTAAAGGGGAGTGCTTTGGGAAGGACTAGCTATGGAAATGGATTTCACAAAGGGAAAATTGGAGTTGTAGATATAACAAATAAAATATATCTGTGCTTTGGCCTGGCATATTGAGAAGGTGGGAGCAGCTTTATTTGATCTATTGATGATGATCTATTGATAATGAATTTCTTCACATTGTAGACCTCATCCTCCTGGCAGTCTGGGTGTTGCTAGCAGTAGGAGGAATAACGATACAGCTGCGCCGAGAGAGGCGGGAAGCCCCTTTTCCACCCCATCCCTATCGGATATGGAAGCGTGAAAGAGAACGCAGGGTAACTAACATCCTAGATCCCAGTCATCATGTTCCTCCCCTGAGAGAGAGGCTCCATAATAAGCTGTCCCAGATCAAGGACTTTTTTCGAAAAGAACAGCCGGCAGGAGAAAGAACACCACTGCTCTTGTAAACAGACATACAATGGGAAGGACTGGGGAAAACAGCTGGGAACATGTGGTGCTGAGGATGTCTTACAGGAGTTTGAAACATTGTGCAAGAGTGACATGCCTTTTACCTTGCCCTCTTCAGCAAAGATTTGAAGGTTGGAGAAGGATCTACTCTTGTATGCTAGAAGGCATTTGCTGTGCTTTCAAGTGCTGTGGTGCACAGACACTTTTTGTCTGTTGTAACTTGTAACAAGGATCGAGTGCCTATATGTGCAATGTGTAAAGTTATTGTGGCAGGGGAGATAGGATGGAGAGGTTGCTTAATGGGAAGGTGTGCAATTGTAAAGTATCAAAGCCCCGAGAGCTGGAAAAGGGTCACCGGGCACAATACATAGTCCTTCCCTTGTCTTCAAGCGCCATTGGTAATGCCAGCCCTATTGGGGTGGCTGTTGGTTGAGCAGAGTATGCAAAATACAGGGGAAGATGGTTGGAGGTACGACTACAAGTGGAAGAACAACATCTTGGTGGCCTTGGTACTGTTGAAATTATTGACAGAAAACATGCATTATTGCTGCTAGCCAATAATAGCACAAAGTTGCCCAGCTATACTAAAAAGTTTTAGTGTTACCAGGTTAACTTGTGTTTCCTTATATGGAAAAGGACCTCTTGCAGGGTGGGGGACAGAGAGGAAGCTTTCTCAAATTTTAGGGCATAGTTCTCTAGCAGGCTAGTAATCTGGTTTTAGTGAAAGGTAGCAGCATAAGGAGAATGAATAGTCTGTTCTCTGAAAACAAAATTGAAAAAATCTAGGAAGCCACAGATGTAGAATACATGTGGCTGATTTATTTCCAGGGGCCCTTAAAACATTTAGGTTCTGTTCTAGCCGTACCCTCTTTGTGTCTGAAGTGTTTTTCCTGTTCTTTTTATATTTGAAAAATTAAATAGAGCCTTTGGGACTTACATTCCTTTGCAGCTTGGTAGCCACCTTACTGAGCCTGGGGGGGGGGGCGAGGGGCAGTGTTGCTTCTTCAGCAGAGCCATGTGTGTCACGAGGGAGACCATCTTTAGCCAGGTTCAGAGCCTGAAAAAGTTGCTTTCTTTTTTTGGACCCTAATATCCCGAGTCACCAGTGATCATGCTGGCTGGGGAGACTGTGAGAAGTGTAGTCCAGCAGCTAACATTTCCAAGTGTTTTGTGGCCTGGAAGTGTTCTCCAAATTGTTTAGGAGCTCAGTCACGGGAAGGATTATGCAAAGGCAGAGAAGAAAACAAAAGCCCTTCTGCTTTCTCTTCTGTGCTCTCATCCATCTTCTGATCTAGTCTGAGCTTGGCAGTGCAGCTGCTGGCCTGGACGGTGGGCCTAATAAACTGTGCTGCTGCTGGGTATACTGCCTCTTTGTCTGTCAATCAGTTACTTGCAGTGCGGTCCCTCCTGACTAGTTATAGTGGTGAAAGTGCAAGGTGTTTTTAAGCGTTGTGCAAGGATAGCATCAAGAAGCCTTGTCTTGCAACTGACAGCCTGCCACTAGTTAGAGTTGACCAATTGCAAAGACCAAGAAGTGGCACAAGATGAGATAATGATCCAGTTTAAAACTGTCATAATGGGGACTTGTAATTGTGTCGTAGTCCCAAGATGTGCTTCAAGTTAGGGCCTGTTGGACTGTGGAGGAGGAAACGTGTCAGGAGATCCTTCATTTTGTTAGGATTTTAAGTTGCCGCCAGTGTGTGGGTCTGGGTTCCTGGTGGTATTGAGATAAGAACTTAAGATTTGAGTTTCTCCTCTCGTTGCTGGAGTTGTGAAGGTTATGCCTATAAATCTTTGGAGCTAACATAAGGTGCAGGAGCCTCATCATTATGGAACATGACACTGTGTGTGCATTTTCCCCCCTTCCTTGTGTGGACAGGCAGTCTCTTTGCTCTCTCTTTTTGTCCTCTTTCTGTTGAAATACTGTTTTTCGACAAGGATCAGACGTAGTCCATATTTTTCCTTTCTGAAGTTAGCTATGGCAGTCATTTATACATTTTAATCTACAAATGACTGCAGTAGGATGGCATTGGCTTAAAGCAAGAGAGCAACTCTGCTCTAATATTAACCTTAAAGGAGAAAGCAGCACACTTTGGAAACCTGCTGAATTTTAAGCATTATGCTTAAATTGTATTTTATGCCGAAGGTTGCTCAACGGAAACCCCAGAGATGTGCACCACACCTCTAACATTCTTAGAGCCCAAGAACTGAGGCAAACTATTTTTTCCCTAATCTCCCCATGACTCCTTCCAGTTTAAGTGTACTCTGCAACAGAAAGGATATTAACCTCACGATGAGTAGGAATGGGAATCTGTAGCCCTTCAGAAGGTTCCAGTATGCTTCACTAAGTTGGTTAGGGAACATAGGAGATAAGAGTCAAACCATCTCTGGAATGAAATAGATTTCCGCTAGCTGCTTTGTGTGCCTTGGGGAATGCAAGGGTTTAGTGCAGAGGTCTCAAATGCATTTTGATAACCTTGCAAGGGTCTAGATAATTATATCAAATCCTTATACCATATTCTTTAAGGCTTCCTGAAGAACTGTAAAGCCTCCTTACATTAAATGGTTCAAAACAGTTAACCATTTTAATTGCATGAAAGCGAATGACTACAGGGCAAGAGACTATCAAAAAGTGGAAAATTCCATAGTTCGTGAGAACTGTTCAGAGATCAATGTAATTTTAATGTTCTAAAAAGTGAAAGAAGTAGGTGAAAAACATGTCCATTTCAGCTAAGAGTTGCTTGTTGGTTACCTGGCTGCCTTTTAGCAATTAACTGAGATATCTGATGGGTCCAAGTGATAAATACTTTGGTATAAAAGTTAGCCATGTTTTTTTAAATAAGTGCCATGATTTACAGTGCAAAAGTTGTCCTTTTCCTATCTTTTTTATAATAAAGATGTTCTTTAAATTGAAGCATTAGTTGTATGATTCCTTGGATTAGGAACCAATAAAGTAAGAAGGAAATGAAGTCCTCTAATGTTTATTGCGGGCTGAATAGCTCAGTGAGTTGTTTCCCACTGCAGAGCCAGAGGCTGGGAGTTCAATCTCCCACTGTGCATCCCATAAAAACCAGCTGTGTGGCCTTGGGCAAGTTGCAGAGTCCCAGGCCAACCTCAGAAGAAGAGAATGATAAACCACTTCTGAGTACCCTCTACTTAGAAAACCTGAAAAGGGTCACCATAAATCAGAATTGACTTTCTGGCACACAATTATTATTTTTAATACTGTACCTATTACTTTCCTCATACAGCAAAGATTAGCTTGACTCAGTGTGTGTGCTTTAGTTTAGGAAGCAGAAACCATGTTTTCCTATACCCTGCGGCTAAAACAAATGACAGGCTAGTGGAACAAGACTTTCTCGTTTTTAAGGTATAGGAGAAGGTATACATTTTCTGAAAATTATATCCCAGACTATTTTTCAGCATCTCAGTTTGCATACTGTTCAAGGGAATACACTTCCACTTTCATCACATATGAAATTATGCATTATTTTGTTAAGAGACTACTTGATACTATATTACAATTGGTTAAGAGTTGCCATCTAGTATATTATAAACATGTCTCAATTCCTCTGATGATCAATCTGTGGAGCTACTCCTATACACATAATTCAGCTTGACTGAACCCCACCCCAATTTTTCTGTTTTGAAATAATAAGATTCGTCTGGAGAATTATTTACATATCTTAGCTTCATTTGCAGAATTCATTACACTCCTGGCACAATTTCATATATGTATATTAATTACATATGTGACAAGTGCACTTTGCTGAGTTTCTTGGCCTGGGATCTAGCACCATGTTTTCTTTGAATGCTAGAGACCAGAGCTATCAATTCGTGTCAATTCACACCGGGAACTGATGGATTTACATCAAAATCAATGTTTACATTTCTTGTGACAAACGAAGACTTTTCATAAAAATAAGTGGAGAAGTTCAATTTTTCAACTGGAAAGAGACTGAAATCTTGTTACTAGATTTCGCCCCCCCCCCTTTGGAAGATCACTACTAGCCAATCAGAGCTGCACTGACATATCCAATTTCACCTTTATTTTCCCTTGAGCAGTTTGTTTGCATTCATCAAGAAAAAGTCTACTAAAACTAGAAGCAGAGGCTATGTATCAATATCTGTTCTATTTCTCAAAAGTCCTAGAGTCTTTTGTATAAAGCAAAGTTTGGCAGAAGACAGCTGAATATATCCAGCAGTTGATTATTCCAGAGGGGATAATAATTGAAATTTCAAGATGCAGTTACGGATAAACAATACTTTAACTGTGGAGAAAAGGACTTCATTTGCTAGAGAGCTCATGGAGACTCCTGCCTTGTAAAATGAACATTATACAAAGAGATGGTCTATGTCTAATTCACCCAGGTTCCAGCATTCAGTTCCTTGTTACACAGAATTCAAATTACCTCAGTGTAGAATATCTTTAGGACTCCATACACTCCAGTGAAATAGCTTGAAAAACATAAGGTTTGCTCCTTGACAGCTGCATGTCATACTGATTAGCTTTGTTCTCATCCTTAGATCATTCTTGACAGTTCATCTCTAGGAATCAGTGCTAGTAGAAAATGTTCATGTGAGCAAAGCTGGCTTGTATCTAAGAAACTTTGCATGAGTGTTGATGAAGGCTAGAAAGACATACCAGAAAAGGCATTCTACACTTGATCTGACATGTTTGACTTCAAACATTGTCTCAAAACAATTTACCAATGAAAATATGTTTACTGTACAGGATGCAATCTTACTCATAAGGTCATTTCAAGCTTCTGCATTACAAAAATAATGAAATACGTATAGAAAACTATCACATCACACAGTTTTTTCTTCTTCAAAATCTTAGTTATACATTTTTAGGCAAAATAAAACAAAACCCTTACAACTAACAGTTTCTACTAGACAGTTACAGTAATTAACAATTATGTATCACTAGTCAAGCAGTTATCTGTAAAGAATTATTGGTGAATTAACAAATACATCCAACTCTACAATCTTGAATAATTCCACATTTACAAAATAAAACTTTGGGGAAAGACTCTGCATTTTAATAGTATGGTATAAAATGCCAGAGGAATAGTTACTATACACTCCACATATAAAGAAAATAATTTTGATAAACTATGTACAAAAATACTTTGTAATTTACAAAGGATATAAGTAAAGCTCCAAGAAATTTCATTTTTGTCAACTTTGAAAGCTACACATGAGTGTGCAGAGCAATATTTCTTTTAATTTCTTTTTATTTTGAAAAATCAGATAAATTGGCCAGCCATTTTGAACATACTTTAACAAACCAGATGGACTTCTTTATCCTCTTAAGTTGCCATGTCATGGCTCCCAGATAACTACACTTCTATAGGAAGGAATGTTGGAATAACTACCAGATGAATTAATGCAAGCAAAATTAATACAATATCATATTGACAGTGAGGGTTAGCCAGAAGAAATGATGAAGACCAAACATCTGGCTATTTACTTAATTTGGTATTCATGTTTATGCTTCAGATGAAGGTGTCACTGCGTGAGCATACTTGCAGCGTGTATGGATTAATTAACATGTGGGAGGGAACTCATGGTATCAATGAAGCATGGATAACTTTGTTAACAAAATTGGACACCAAGTTAAGAAATCAGCATTGTGCTGAACTAGGACTGGGGACACCCCTAGTTCACGTCCCTATAAAGGTGGCCACTTTCAGCCATTTAGACACTCAGGGTAATGAAGATAAAAATGTGGGCCATGCCATTTATATCTCCTTGAATGCTTTGGAGGCAAGATGGAATATATAGCAAATATACAACAGTTTTTTTCCCTGCAAGTTTCTAAACCATATTTTCCCACCATTAGTGTTTCAGATAATCTAGAACTACTGCTCGCATCGTCTCTAGTCAAAATGACTAATAGTCAGGTATGAGAAGAACTGAAGTCTGTCAAGATCTGAGGCAGTCTGAAACAATCTAACTAGATTTAGTTCTAAATCAATCACCTAAATGATCTACAGGAGTTATCCAATTATAATTCCTTCACCCAGTTGTGCAAGAATTGATACTGTGCTCCCTTTTAATTAAATTTAACTACCTTCAAGTCAATGCTGATTTACAGCAACCCTTTCCAGGATTTTCAAAAGTAGAAGGTACTTAAAAGTGGTTTACCATTCTCTTTGGGGGGAGGGGGTTTTCTTTGGGACTTTGCAGCTTGTCCATGACCACCCAGGCCAGCAGTTCTCCTGGGACACACAGTGGGGAATCCAACTCCCAATGTCTGTCTCTGCAGCTATCCAGCTAGCTCACTGAGCTATCCAGCCAGCCCCTACAGCCTGGAAAATTTACAACTCCCAGAATCCACCCATTCACTGGGCCTCTGGGTTTATCTGTCTGGAGTTATCATCAAAAGAGCAGCTTTTCCAACTTCTGTACCCTTAACATTTTAGTAAAAGATATAGAACTTTTCAGCTAGGAATAAAATCTCTACCAAAAACATTGGTTATAGTTAGCAAAGACTGTAGAAAACAGTATGCTGAGGCAGATTTATTAATTCTGCCAGAGTTATCTCTCAGCATTTCTTGTTAGGTAGGCTATCCTTATATACAAAAACAAATGCTCAGATTTTGTTTTTTAAAGTGTCATTTCTTAACCGTTATCAGCATGAAAGACCTCTTTATGTTCAGGCTTGGCTCCAATGTGTCCTGTGTCTGAGTGGAAGGCAAAAGGGAAGGGATTGCTACCACACCCCATAGGAAGTGCAACTTCCCTGCTATTTTAAAAATCCTCAACTGTTACAAGGTTCCACACTATGAAAGGTATAAAACCCACAACTCACACAGAAGATTCCAGTGTTATCCAAGCTTCAGTGTTGTATTTTACAATGGAGGGGAATGAAGTGGTTCATGTTACAGAAGTAAGAGAATAAAATTATTCTTTATCTGCAAAATTATTCTGCCAAAAATCTGTAAGCAGTTCTTTCATTTTAAAAATGCATGTGGCATTCAAGTCACAAGACAGCATACTGAGAACTTCGGGCTAATTCAGTTCCATGCTTGTTTACAAGTACTGTAAGTTTGTGGTTGGATATTTTGGTTCATTTAAGGCTGAAAACAAGCCTTATATTTTAAACTAACTGGCTGATATACAATATCTTTTGTTATTTGACAGGAATGTAAAGGCGCGTATAAATGGCTATTGCAAGCGCCTAACACTGTTTCCTCTAAAAAGCAGTCAACATGAGAAACACACTGAATGTGCAGAAAATTTAATTAATCGCTATTAGCTGACTTATATTGCCCTAATATCATTGAGATTATCAATATTTATGGGAATAGACAGATATATCTACTAATAGTTTTAACTGTTCTCACAGACAAGCTCAGCTTCACCTTGCTTTTACCAGAGCTGACTATATCTAGTGTTAACTGAGTGGTATATGTAATGGTCAGAGGTTACTCTTTTTTTAGGGTACAATTTAAATGTCCATCTGTTTTATCAGTTTCATTTACTTGGAGTGAGTTGTTCCACACGGCTTCATATAAAAATTTTCACTAACAGTGTGAGACAGTCTCCTGCAGAAATTATATCTATGGAAATTAACTAACACTGGACACTAATGACAATTATAAATAAATCATTTTAATATATTGTACATTGTATAAAAGTATCAAACTCATCTGACTTAGGATGCATTATATTGTCAATGCCATGTTAGAAAACAATTGCGTATCAAGTGGATCCTGATTTTCAGTGTGCATTAGTTACAGAAGTCACCATAGACTCTTCAACTTTTTCTCAGACTCAGGTCACTGTTTGTTACCAAAGCAGACAGAGATGTACTTTCTGATGCATCATCTTTGAGATTTAGAAATGATTCCCTGGTTATTTGCAGGATTTCTCTCAGCCCTTTGTTTTCCTGCTGTAACAAAGAAAAAAAATACTTTTAAAGTAACACACAAAGTGTGAAAGAATATATGCATTATGAAAATCAAGACAGAAAAAACACTGGACTTATTGGAATAGTGTTTAGTGAGAGGAGGATATCCCGAACCTTTTTGTTCAAGATGCCTTCCTCCACTACATAGAAAAATAATACGACAGAAAAAACACTGGACTTATTGGAATACAGTGTTTAGTGAGAGGAGGATATCCTGAACCTTTCTGTTCAAGATGCCCTCCTCCACTACATAGAAAAATAATAAATTACATTTCAACCACCTGAAAAGAATTATCTAGGAAATACAGGTAAAGTACCAGCCCTAAGCTACTCTTAAGTATAAGGCTACTAGTGGTTACTAGCTATGATGGCCACGTATTATTTCCAGTATCAGAAATGTAAAATGAATCCAGTAACAGTGATTTTCAGTAAGAACTTCTTCCCCCGTCCCATGGAGCCCAAAGGTTCCTGATGATGAAAGGGATTACAAAGGAGCTGTTGGGTGCCTTGGAATAAAAGTTGGAAATGTATGATTTCTGAAAACTTTGTCCAGTGGACAGGACATCAACCACAACATCTGAAGAGTACAATCTATTTAAAAAAATCAGCCTTCATAACCAGCATTTTCCAACTGATTTTTCTTGTTTGCCAGGTCTTTTATCACTAGAAATAGCTTATTCCCTTTCTTGAATTTCTGCAGAGTTTCATATTTACCTCAAGCTGAAAAATACGTTCTTGTTCTTTGCAACCTTGCTGCTCATCAATGTCAATAGCCTTTCGCATGACTGCAGCCATTTCTGTGATTTGGTCCACATGTACTTGTAACTCCTAAACCGAAACGATAAGGTACAATCAGCAGCTCGTAACAAGACTAAATGTCACGCCATGTTAAAAAGAAAGGTTGTAACTCAGAAGAAATAAAATAAACTCCAAGAACCTTTCCAACATATTTACCACTGACACCTATGAAATAGTACAGACATTACCACAGATTATTTCTTCCAGTCATGGACTTGCATTTACTATTAAAATAGGCAATGTTAAAATCACAAGGTTTCTGTATGTAGTTATGCAGATCCAGTAATGTGATGCATACTTATTACTTTTCAGCACTACCTTTACAACTGCATTTTCCATGGTACTGGGGATTGCAATATACATTTTTTCCTGTATAAAATATTCTCACTGGCATTATTTGCAATGTACTGAAGAAGAATAAAAATAATCGTATTTTTAAGGAACTCATCCAACATCAGCTATCAATAGACATCACTTATCTATTTAGATGGAACTTTAAAGAAAAGATTCAAAATTGATTTAAAAATTGCAGGAATAAATCTTTTAAACTAGCTTCTGTAAACAATTGCTCAGACTAATTTGGGATATTATAACCTATAAAGCCCTACATAGTTTGGCCCAAGCTATCTAAGGAGCATATCTCCCTTTTTGAGCCTATTTGAGTGTTAAGATCATTAGGAGGGGCATTTGTCGTGGCCCTGGAAGATCATTAGGAGGGGCATTTGTCGTGGTCCTGGCACCTTCACAGGTACGTTTGATGGGGACACAGGAGACGAGGGCCTTCTCTGTTGTTTCTCCCAGACTCTGGAACTCTCTCCCACAGGAGGCCAGACTGGCCCCATCTTTACTGTCTTTCCGCAAGCAGGTGAAGACTTTTCAGACAATTGTCTTGCGAGGCACCACTGTATAGGAATATCTGTGGGCAATTGGTTCCAAGCCCTCCCACTGAATGGGGGGCAGGTTTGGCTCCAAACCCTCCCACTGGATTTCAAAAAACAGGGATTGTAGTGAATGCTATGTATATAGCATAGTCTCTGTGTCCTTCTAGTGGTCAGTTCTGGTGACTTCATCTTTAGAAATACAGTCGTGCCCCGCTTAACGATTACCCCGTATAACAATGAATCTGCTTCACGATGATGTTTTTGCAATCGCAGTTGCAATCGCAAAACAATATTTTAATGGGTTTTTTTTCGCTTTGCGGTGATCAGTTCCCTGCTTCGGGAACCGATTCTTCACATTACGATGATCAAAACAACTGATTGTTGGTTTTTCAAAATGGGCACCAGCTGCTCAAAATGGCTCCCCACTGTGTTTTTGGACGGATTCCTCACTTTACAGGCACCGAAAATGGCTGCCCCTATGGAGGATCTTCGCTGGACGGTGAGTTATTCAGCCCATTGGAATGCATTGAACAGTTTTCAATGCGTTTCAATGGGCTTTTTTATTTCGCTTTATGTTTTCACTCTACAGCAATTTCGCTGGAACGAATTAACGTCGTCAAGCGAGGCACCACTGTACTGTATGCATTTCTCGGAAAAATCAGAAAAAGTCTTTGTGGTCTCCAAAACAATACAAATGCAGGCCACCAAATAAATAAAAGGTAGCTGTCGTTTGCTTGATTTTTTTAGTGGTCTCATAAAGGTACCACCTGCTTCTGCATTTGTATATATGTCTAGAGATTTTCTTTTAATATTTTCAGACCATGGATAAGTGAATCAGCGGATACTAATCCCAAAAATACTGAGGTCCTACTGTATCTGATTGTTTTGCAGTGGAGAAATAGGAACCAGTATTTGGAGAGGAGATTTGCTGTATAATATTAAGTTCCAAACTCAAGACATCAAGCAAAACCTGAATGTATTTAGGATGTACATAAAAGAAGGCAATAAAACATTTTATTACAGCAGATTTAAAGAGTTTTATGCATATATTACCTTAGAATGCTGCTCCTTTAATTTCATTATTATACCTGGGTCATCCTTTTTGCTGGCCATAAGCAGTCTAAACATCTGCTCTCTGTATTTGCTCATTATTAGTTCCAAGGCAGACTGATGTTCTTCGAGAGATGTACGTAATTCTGTCAAAGTAAATGTAACCCATTTAACAGCTACACAGGAAGCACAGCTAAATATTTAAAAAGTTTTTGTCTCATAACCAGAAAGGCATCTATTTTACTACAGTCACTATAGAATGAAGTAACTGGAAGGCACTAGCTGTCTGACATCAGTTTCAATTTTGATTACCGTACAGTATTGGGTGATGCCTTGTGCTCACTTACTGTTTCAGACGCTTAACAATGCATCTAGACATCAGACATGGAAAGGAATAGTACTTCAAGCACTTAAGTTCTTCCTTGTAGTAATACAAGTTTCAAACATTAAAAAGAATTCTTAGAACCTGAAGGTTGAGACTTGTCATATTACCAACCATATAAATATAACACTGAAGTCTTTCTATACAGGATGCTTCCTCACCTTTATTTTCTTGCTGTAGTTCTCTGATCTGCCTGTTTTCCTGCTGAATACCCAGTACCAGGGAAGAGCGGGGCCTATGTCTTGCTACTTCATTAAGTTCTTGAATTTCTTCCTGGTACTGAAAGTAGGTAAATATTTCAGAAAGACAGAATTATGAAAGGGCAGACATTTGCTGTTAGTAACACATTTCAACCTATATCCACCCAAAATAAAGAGAATCCCAAGAACAGCAAAAATAATAATCCCAGGGACCTAGAGCATGCTGGCCTCTAGTTCCCCCAGTGAAGCATATCCTGCTATATCATCTTCCTTAGTGACAAAGTGAGCCTTCAATGGCACCTTGTAATTTTGGTATGCAGGTGTGTCTGCCAGTTTAGTAAATCAGAAGTCTAACCAGACATGCTCAAAACGTTGGATACAAGCATAATTTCTCTTTGTATTCCAGTCAGTATTAATATCCTTTATTAATTTTTTAATCCAAAGGCTATTTTCGGAAGCCAATGCATGTTCTGAATTTCTGAACAAAAATGTCTATTGAGGGTTTTTGCAGATACCATAATCCTCTTGATACAAAGATTTTATTAAAAACAGGTTAAATGGCATTTTAAATTCTTTCGATGAAGATACATGAAAATTGATTAATATCATCCAGATGGGTTTCTGATAGGTTAACTCTATGATCTGCTATGCAATACTGTCTTTGAATACTCTGCAGTGCAATTAACTGAATGCAAGGACAGTTGCAGCCACACAATAACACAATGTGCAACAATATAGCAAAACATGGCGAGTGAGTCCCAGAAGTGCAACATCTTCAAATATTACAGCTCGATCAGTGATGCAAATGAAGCCTATAAAACTTGCAAAATCGAAAATCAGAACAGATTTCGGTCTAAATGGGTGGGATATATATTAAAGAAAGAAAGAAATACATAAGCAGAAGTGTTAATAAGTACCTATTCACCTAGTAACTTATGCATGTAAACAGGCAGAGCTGCAGACATTGTAAGCAGCTCTTTTCATGTTAGCACACTACAATTAGCAGAGGTGCAGTAGGCAAGTGCATTTATATCCTATTTATTCAACTGAACTCAGGAGTATGCTATGAACACAATTTTAGATTAACTTTTAAAACTTAAATCATAAATCACTTTGCAAAAGTTAAACTTAATCTACAGAAAAGGGAGATGTTGATGGTTGGATTATCACTGGAGCTAGACGTAAGTCTTGCTGACTTAAAGATTACCATGTGTACTCTTGCATAGGCTTCCATAGACTTGAGTCCAGCTGATGCATAAACTATTATTTTTGGTTGCCTTGTACAAGTACACACGTGAACAGAAAAAGAGAAAATATGAATTTAATTTTTTAAAAAAAATACAGCTTGTGACAACTGCTTTAACGTTCAAAATGCATGAAAAAGCATAGTTACAAAAGATAGGACTCTCTCAACATTGGTGCTTAAATTGTAGAAATATTTATTTATTATTTAGAAATATTTATTGATTTAATGTTTACACTCTTATACTGTGTCATCTGGCCCGGGCCATCATCCATGGACTGCTCACTTGGCTTTTTTATTACCATACTTGAGTTAGTTATTGGGTCATAACACTACTATTGCAGGATTCTTTGGGGATAATAATACCATAGGTTATTATATCCATGCAGCCACTCAACTTTGGATTTTTTTTAAACATCATTCTACTGAATGTGGTGTATGGCATGGTTTTATAACTTTTATACATTCCCTAAATCATTTTATAGGTTCACATAGATGAAAAAGCATTTGATTTGTGAAAAATGTAAATATAGGCTATACTAATGGAAAACAGTAGAAGAAATAATGTGTTCATATGCCAGTCCAAACAGGTGCAAGATTCTAATGAAGCTTTCAAATGTATGGTGGCCAAAATCCTGTTGCATAGTATGCTATAGTAAGTCACAGTTAGAGTAGGCCTATTTGAATGAATTGAACTTAGGGTGCAATTGACTTGTGAAAAATGTAAATATAGGCTATACTAATGGAAAACAGTAGAAGAAATAATGTGTTCATATGCCAGTCCAAACAGGTGCAAGATTCTAATGAAGCTTTCAAATGTATGGTGGCCAAAATCCTGTTGCATAGTATGCTATAGTAAGTCACAGTTAGAGTAGGCCTATTTGAATGAATTGAACTTATGGTGCAATTGACTCACCAAATCACCATTGATTCAATGAGCCTACTCTAGTCCAATTTACTATACTATGCAACAGGATTTTGACCAATGCAACATAACTCATCTCCAGACAAATCAGTTCAAAAGTCCTACTGGTTGCCCTAAATTCATATATGGTACTTTTAAATAATAAAAGGAACATCTGGTCAAAGTTCAGCAGAATTATGTTAAAAGCTCCAAGGCTAAGTGGGCTGTGTAAGGATTTCAAGATAATAGAGTATTGTGCTATTTTAACTAGTTTCAAGTTTAAACCATCATAAAACAAAATGATGGAAGAGCCCTTTCAGTTTTAAGAACTATCTACTCACCTAACCCAAACAGCATATATAACCTCAGAAGCCTTCAAGATAATAAACAGGATACATTATGCATTTTAATCCTTTAGGCACTGCAAATAATCTTAAATGGTCAAACAGAAATATGTTATTTCTGAATAAGAACAATAAAAATAAGGCTACAAACCTGCTTCATTGCTTCTACTCGTTTATTAAGAGCTGTAGTTTGTTCAATCAAAGCCTCTGCTGCATTGTCATGTTCTCTCAGTCTCTCCACTAGTGCTTTTGCATCAGCTAGAGCCTTCTCAATTGTGCAACTCATTTCTAAAAAGTAAAATAAGACAAGGAAATGTTTATAGAACACCAACCAATATTTAGAATTGTTGTTGCTCTTATTACCTGCTGCCATATCACTTCTGAATTAAAGCAATCCTACGAATTAGTGACCCGTGAAGGTTGTATCATTAATAGCCCTCCCCAAGTCTTGCAAAATCAAGTCTGCAGTTTGCTTGATTGAGTAAATCTATCTCTTATTTAATTGTCCTCTCTTCCTGTTACCTTCCTTTTTTCTAGCATGATTATCTTTTCCAGGGAGTCTTGTCTGCCCTTGATGTACAAGAATCATAACCACAAAGTACAACAACCTCAGTTTAATAATTTTCACTTCTAGAGAAAGTTTAACCTTGATTTTCCTAGCAACCACTTGTCTTCCTGATAGTCCATGATATCTCTCTTTGATCTTTCAAATTAATCTTTTTTTTTCTTGGTCATCTTTTTCTATTGTCCACCTTTCACATCTGTACATAGTAATCTGGAATACCACAGTACTGTACAGATTATCTTCACCTTTGGTCTCTACTACACATCCTTACATGTGAAGATCTTTTCTAATCCCTTCATTGCTGCCTTTCCAAGTCTCACTGTTCTTTTGATTTCTTGATTGCAGTCTCCATTTCAATTGAACCGAGTTAGAGAACATGAGAGCATTCAAAATTAAGACATATTATTCCCCCTGCCTAAAAATGCTCTTAATTATTGCTAGATACTTTTTATCTTCATCTGTGTTCTACAATGTCAGATTCATATGTAACAGAATTCCATTAGCTTCCATAGGACTTATTTCCAATAAAGTCTTGTAACTATTGTGTTATTGTGCTCTTAATCTTGACCTCACAAATGTGCTGAATAATGTTAGAGTGGTCATCATCAATATTACCTTACAACCTGACATTTAAGTCCACCGTATTTCACAAGCAATGCTTAAATTGGTTTTGACCTATACTATCAATAGGTTTCAGTGACTACAGACTATGGTCAATTTAAAACGATGTCTTAAAATTTTCTATACTGCATTAGCAATACACTTAGGAAGACCATTCACCAAGTTCACTGCTCAGCTTTAATGCTGTTTTCCTGTGCTCTCCTGAACATCTGTGCACAGTCATGCTGAATTTTGATAACATAAGCAGAGTAGAGGGAAGCATATTATAAACACTCATTTTGAAATGTGGCATAGCCACTTCCTGGAAAGTGGAACAATGTGGAATAAAGCCATTAGTTGTGTATAAGTTGCAGGTGCTAATTGGACATAACAATACACACATAACAAAAAACACCCTGATCATCATAATCACCCAATCTTTTGAAAAGGACAGAAAGCTTATCCCACAACTACAAATACTTAAGTATCCCACACATTACACCAGAACACAGACAGGGTTCTAATTCCTGTCCTCTGAAGATGCCAGTTACAGAGACTGGCAAAACGTTAGGAAGAAAAACCTTCAGAACATGGCCAAACAGCCCGAAAAACCTACAACAACCACCGGATCGCGGCTGTGAAAGCCTTCGAGAATAAATTCTGGTCTTTGATCAAACAGCCAATTTATCATATGCTGTTATTTTATAGATATGGTGTCTATATTTTATACATACATATGAAAGCTATAGTATAGCAGACAGAGTGTTGGACTAGAACTCAGGAGACCTGTATCTGAATTGCCACTCAACCATGGAAACTCACTGGTGAGTTGGAGCTGATAAAATCATTCCTTTTAGAGTCTCGATGGGGTCATCTGAAGTCACGGGAGAAGCGATATGCCATTTGGTGTGATCCTCATATACAGTGGTGCCCCGCATGACAACGATAATCTGTCCCGTGAAAATTGCTGTTTAGCGAAATCGTCGTCATGCGAAAACCCTTTCCCCATTGGAATGCACTGAAACCTGGTTTAATGCGTTCCAATGAGGAAAATACCTCGTCGACTAGTGAAGATCGCCCATAGGATCCATTTTGCGAGGATCCATTTTACGAGCACCGTTCAGCTGTAAAAAATGGCTGCCCTGCAAAGCATGGGTCTGGAAAACACAGGGCAGCCATTCTGCGAAGCTGAAAAAATAGTCATCTTGCGAACAAACAGTTTGCGAAGCATGTACCTAATCGATGTCCAGCGAAAATCCCCCATTGGAATGACTGTTTTGTGAATCACTAGAGCGATTGCAAAAAGTCGTTGTTATGCGGATTCGGCGGTTAGCGGGGTCGTCGTTTAGCAAGGTACCACTGTATAGCATAGCAAGCTCAAGCTATTTAGTCTGTCCCCCTCCAGTGTCAATTTCCAGTAAAGTGGCTTAATAAACACGTAGTGGAGGATGTGAATTGTTAAATTTTTGCCTCTGCTAAACCACTGCTGATGTGTTGAATCACTTACATTATTTTTCAAAAAACATTTTCTTTGTGTGTAGTGCTGTTTGAAACTATGAATACATGCAGTTTCTTGATCATGCAAGGCAAATAATTATTTTTTTTAAAAAAAATTCATCAAGTGATTCAGCACATAAGTTATGATCTAGCAGAGGGGGTAAAAAAAAGAGGAGCAGGGGAAGTGTTCCATTTGCTGATATCCTGAAGTGGATCACTTATTAAGCCTTTTTACAATAATGGAAATTGACACTGCAAAGAGCCTTGGCAGTTCTGGCAGCCACAAGGCTCAATTTTGGTCCCTTTCCAGCAATTGTATGGACCAAATTACAGCACACCTAACCACAATAAATGCATTTTTTAAAAGAGAGAGAGAGGAGCCCCTGACAGAGGCTGAAAAAGATACAGGTAGAGGTACTCTGAGGATTGAGTGGTTCATTCTAGTGATCATCTTCTTAAGTAGAGACCCCACTGTACAGACTAAGTAGCTAGAAGGCATAACTGTCTCATCAGTAAAGCTAATCCACCAAACAGTGGGACTAATCTTGCTAGGTAAGAATATTCCAAAATATCCACAAGTAGAAGAGGATCCAGTAGATGACCCAGGCAAGACCTGATTTAGTACCAACAAACCCTCTATTCCTAAAATAACCAGACTGCTGTGAAAATGTTATTATTTAATTAAAGATGTTGCAAAAAAGTTTTAAAAAATAACAAATAAAGTTCAAAACTCTCAAAACTTAGTTTAAAAAGTCCGAAAGCAAACAAAATATGAAGCTAATAATCATCTCAAAAGACTTGAGACTAAGGCAATACCAGAATAGTTTCCAAAGAAAATAAGAAAACTAACTGTCCTATACTAATACGTACAATTCAGAAGGATTGAAGCAGTTCCAGATTGTACACAGTGTACAGACTAAGTAGTTAGAAGGCATAACTGTCTCATCAGAAAAGCTAATCCAAACTAACGATTTGTCGTTAAACGAGGCACCCGTTAAGAGAGGCACTACTGTAAATCCTATGCCATTTTTATACTTATCATCCACCTTTCCAGACCTTTTGAGGATATTCTACCAATTAGATTCTCAGTTACCCTGAACTCTTCAGAAGGGAGTAACTTCGCTTAATTTCATTTTCTGTTCAGCTGAAACATGTTTTCACCTAATTAGCATAGTATCAGGAGAAAAGTGTTTCATGGCCTTGGATGCATTTTTTCTCACCAAATAACACCCAATTGCAAACTGTCTCCCCAATTAGCAAGCAAACTTTCCCCCTTGTGCCAGACTTCTCTGGCACAAATCAACAGGACTAAACTTTACAAGGCATCTAAAACCTACTAGCCCCTCTTTTACCAATTTCTTGACACAGAATCATTTCACCCTGCAGAACACCAAGGCTCAAAAAGCCTGCTAGAAATTCCTTCACCCTCACAATCCATTCTTGCCTGAACAGCATAGCAAACCAACAAACAAATGAGACAGCGCTTTACTCCACAATTATCCCATTATTTATTGTACATTTCCTCTGACACATCATTTGGACATGTGATTTGCATGACAAACAAAATGCCAAACCAGGCATTTTTCAGATTGATAGAGTTCCTAAAATAAAACACTACACCTACTTTTACTGCTACAGTATTTCTAAATCAGGGATCCCAAACTCAATTTACCTGGGGGCAGCTGGAGGCAGAGTCTGGGTGAGGCTGGACCACATCAGATTTTCCGCCAAGTGGAGCAAGAGCCCTAGGAAGCCGCCCAGGAGCTTCCTCAGCCCGGCTGGGGTTCTGAGGAGGAGGAAGTACTGCTGGGTGTTGAGGTGGCCGCTGGCCGAGCTGGTGCTGGGGGTGCTGAGAGAGAAAGTGAGCCGCTTCCCTGGAAGAAGTGGTGGTGGTGGCTGCTGTTGGCAGCACTGTTGGAGGTGCTCTTTGAGGACAGGCTGGTAGCAAGTTCCGCTCTCAGGCATCGCTCGGCAGTGGCTCAGACGCTCGGGGAAAAGGGCTGGCAGCGCACCTTGCTCGCCGGTTCTCCCCCAAGCCATCGCGTCTTGCACCCTCCATCCGGAACTGCAGCCTGTCAGCTGGCAGACAGGTGGGCGGGCTGGCAGGCTGCAGTTCTGGATGGAGGGGGCAAGAGGCACAGGCTTGGGAGAGAGCTGGTGAGCGAGGTGAGGCTTTTTTAAAACTCTTGACAGCAGAGGATGTGTGGGCACTTCGGGGGGGGGCAGGCAAGGTGGGGGCCACAAACTATCATCGGCGGGCCGCAAACAGCCCCCGGGCCGCATGTCTGAGACCCCTGTTCTAAATAGTCGTGCTAGTGAATTGCATTCTACTGGCGGAACTGATGGGGAGGGGGAAATCCTGGGGCAATTCAAAGCCTAACAAATTCATTTTACTGTGTGATATTGAGGTTCAAAATGCACTCCTTCAGATACAAGGAGTGCAAATACTGTGGCCTCTTATGCAGTATTCATACATATCTAAGTGAATGGTACCAGTCATGTCCAGGTAAGGATACTAGTACGTATCACCGATCAAAGGAAAACGGGTTCGTGGACACTGGAATGTGGCTACCCAGCTAGTAAGTAGGCTGCAAGTCCAGCCCTGGGGCTAAGCTGTAGCTCAGGTAGAAACAGGGAGACCAGTACTGTAATGCCCCTTACAGGCCGTTATTCCTGGGGGGAAAGGTGCCTCTTTCACCCGAAACGGGATCTTTAGTGCGGCGGGTTGTCCTCCTCGAATCGCGACAACCGACTCGTTACATTCCAGGAATTCCCTTCCCGCGTTCCCCAAGGAGGGGCGGAAAGAGGCTGTCCGCGCGCCCTGCCGGCCTCCGTCCTTTCAAAAGCCGTTCAACGGGGGAGGGGGCGCGAGCCGGCCGCGCGCGCGTTCGTTCGTGCGTTCGTTCCTCCGCTCGCGGTCTCGGTCTCTCTCTCCCGCTTACCTGCCGCCCGCGAACCAATCACAGCACAGGAACCGTTCCTTCTCTACAGGCATGCCGGTAGACACGCACATAAGCACACTCACCGGTGGTGCCCGCAGTTCATTCCTCGCCAGCCAGCGCGGACCGCAGGGGGATGAGGAGAGAGCCGCCCCACTACCTCTTCCGTTTACTGCGTTGCTTTCTTAAATGGCGGTAGTTCGAGGGAGAGGAGGAGGAGGAAGCGCCACCCAGCCGAACCACCCCATGAGGGGACCGGGACGGAGGCAAGCCGGAGAGCCAAGACCGGGGCTTCCACACAAATTGCCGCTGTCAGCCGGTGAAGGGAGGATGGGGAACATTCAAGCAGGAATTTATCGCGAGACTTTCGCCTTTTCCGACCGAACCGCCTGCCGCTCTGTCTCAAATATCGCGAGACGTGCCCCTAACAAGAGAGCATTACCTCAGCTCCCTCGGAGCGAATAAGGGAGGGGAATCGGGCGGCCTCTAAGATCGCGAGACTTGTCCATTTCCTCCCGCGGGACCTCGCGCTCAAGCCCTTAATTCTACGCTGGGCTTTAGCGGTAGGTCCTGCGGGAGGAAATGGGGCAACTTTTCGAATGGGAGGTAGACCCAAGCTACCGTCATAGAGTTGTTCTAGGACAGGTCATGGATCATAAAAATTAATCATGTGCCCTCAAGTCAATTCGGACTGTTGGTGACCCTTTGCAAGGGTTTTCCTGGTAAGGAATGCTCAGAAGTCGCTTTCCATTCCCTTCTCTCTCTGACATTGCGCTGATGTCCAACCGCAGGTGGGATGCGACAGGCTGGCTTGTACTCGCAACCTCTGGTTCCGCAGCCGGATAGCTAAGCCACGGGGCTGTCCAGCCGGTTCTTGCATCATAGGACCAACACATAAGCCCCCTGTTGCTCTGTGTAGCAAGTTGCACTGATGAACGAATTGGGTTCATGTTTTGGACTCAAGGAAGCCTATTGAGAGTAAGGGCATTTTAAATGTGATTAGCCTGGGTGATCACAACGACCCACTAAATTATTTTACATTTTTTAATATGAAAATTGGGAAAAATGTGTTTACGACGATAAAATACTTTTCATTATCAAAATGTTAGTTTTATAGGAACACATTCACACACCCGGGAGTTTTTTTCATGCTTTTCCATTTCAGAACCTGCCCCTGAAGTTTGCAACTATTGAATGAGTTGTTTGAGAAATTACTGGTATATCAAGTTTAAGGATGCTGCACTGCCATAATTAAGTCAAGTACATTTTTGTGCATAAACCAGTACCAAATGCGCAAGCACTATGACTTTATTGTATTCCACATGTGTTTTAACAGTAAAGTTCTTTAATGCTGCTTTTAAAGACGACCAAATGGCCATTTTATTTACTTTCAACCACTGGTGCGAGCGAGCGCGTAAACAGAGGAGAAAACCATTTTTACTCTGCATGTGGTGTTTTTTTTTTTATCATAACGCTTGAATCTGCTGTGCGCAAACTCTGTCATTTACACTTATAATAATACGTGTGCGCGTATAAATATATAAAACCAAAAGATTTCCAAACCAACACCACAGATTCCTCCATATTCTTTTCGGCGGCAGTCTCACTTCCTCATACAGTAGAAGGGGGTCAGGAAACTCGCCCGCCGGCAAACGGAATGGCCGTTCTACTGTTTCCTGTCTCTATAGGCTCGTGGAAGGTGCTCTCCGG